CGAGTACAACCGACATTTCTTATAATTCAATTTAGTTGTAATCCCATCCATTTTTCAAAATTATTATGCACACAATATGAGCGCTATTTATATGTTATAATAATATATAATTTTTATTTAAGTAATAAATATGAGAAATTTTTTACCACAAACTGTATTTGGGTATACCCAAATTGTGTTTCTATAAAATTTATAATTCTTATCAACAATCTAATGCAAATCCAAATCCATAAATTAAAACCTTTCAATCGTATTTTACTAGTCAATTTAATCTGCTGCTAAATATTGGTTATATGTATAACTAAATTTATAATTATATCTATATATGACGTAAATACAGTATACGTATGTACACAGTGCATACTTATTTACCTATATACAGATCATTGTAATTAGTTATATTTCAATTTGAATAGAAGAATGGAATAGATTTTAAAATTACAAGAAAATTACCTGTAAATCTAATTCGTATATTAATTTAACATTTTACTTTAAGAAGGGGTAACTTACGTTTATTAATAGATAGGACAAGGTTAGCGAAATTTATTCATCCATAGTAATTGGGACATCTATTAAAAGCAATAAAAATAATTTAGTATACTAAATTGTATGAAAGTTTTATTTCGCGAAAATAGGAAAATTAAATTTAAATACACTGATTATATTATTTCTACGTACAATATTATTTGATGGTCTTTGATTTCAGAACGGAAAGTATATAAAACTAAACCAAAGAAAACAAAAACAAGAAAAGTACAATTAAAATGACGTTTAAAGTCAAAAACATTGTAAAAAAATGCGTATAATCTGACATGTCGAAAAACTAAATCACTTGATATATGTTTTGATACCCATTTATTAATAATTTATGGTTGTATAATTAAGAAATTTTTTAATTTTTTGTAATTTCACTGTAAAATTTATATTATGGAAGTTCACAATGTGTCATAATAATAAGTTAACAGTTTTCCACAAAAATCAGCGATGTACCTAATTACTGTGTGTTTACTTTAAAATACTGTATCTCAAAATATAAGATATAGCTATTCATTAGAGCCGATGATTCGTACAATTCATCAATTAAAGTCATGTATTACCTTTAAAGCGTGACTTGTTAATGAATAACAGAAAACTCAATTAATATAGAAACACATATTTCTGCATATATTTTTACAGAATTTATTTATTATTAACTCATCTACCAAAAATGAAAACACTGATTGTACAAAAACATGTGACTGTACCGGGCATTTATAATTTTGTATGTACGACGATCTAAATATACATATACATTTCTTTTAATAAGTACCTGCTTAATTATACAGTGGGTTAATAGTTTTCTCTTCAAACAAGGATATCTCCTTATGCTAACAATAAGAAGAATTAAAAATAAATTATCTTTAATTCATTATGTTCCCTTTAAATAACCATGCAATTGTAAAAGTACAAATTTTCGAACTCTAATTAAATTGGCTAATGTTTGTGTACCAACAATAATGAGAATTAGAAGTACATATATACAGATGTGATTCCTATTTACCGAAACTATTGATTGTTTTTAAATTATTAATTATGGATAATGAAGGAAAAGAAAAACGAAGCATATATCTAGCACTTGTGGTGTTTGTATTTCTTCCTGTCTTCCTAAAGTTTACGTGAGGGAAGGGTAGCGGTTTAAACATATATTGTATATATTTTGTTTTTATACAAACATTTTTATTGATCGGCACAATAAAAAGGAAGCAAAACCGTAACACTGAATGTAGAAAACAACATCATAATAATAATAAAGTATGTGTGTCCATGTTACATTACATTTAGGTATCTACCAAATATCAGCCCTAATATAGGTAAGTATTTGTCTAGATAATCATCCAAAAATGTACGACTAAACAATTACCTATGAAATAATAGTGCCCCTGCTTTTTTACTAAATTATTCTTAATTAAATAAAAAAGAACTGTATGTATCTTATATACCTACATACGTGTCTTAAAAAACTTCAAAGTTAAAAATCAAGAACGACAAGTAAAACTAAATCGATAAATTATTTATTAGCAATGGCGAATTTGATTTTAAGAAATAAAAAAGTGATTATAATAAAAGAATTCGTTTCGTTTGTTTTGGTGTATTTTTAATGCCGAGCTCTCATATAAACTGCAGCCGAGTCATGCTTGTCGTAACCGAGTCTGCGAGTGTGCTTAAATATTTCATTAGCCGTGGATGTCATTAACAGTGGTTGATTAAATGAATCGGCCATTTCGAGAGCAAGTTTCAAATCTTTTTGCATATGTTGTAATGGCATTCGTGTATTCGGAAAGTCAGATTTTATTATTATATTTGCTTTATCTACCAATGCTGGACAACTCATGTTTGTCAATTCAAAAATCTCCAGCACGTCTTTTGCAAATAATCCCGAACGGTCAGCTAACGCAAATCCTTCAGCCAAACCTGCCAATGCAACTCCATTAATTGTCTGAAGAATTAAGTTCATTTTGGTAGCAAAACCGACTTCTCCCAAGTAAAAAGCAGTTTTGCCCATCGCTTTAAAGCAACTCTGACAGTCGTCGAACAGAGTTTTGTCACCGGCTCCCAAAATTACAAGATTGGCTTCGTTCGCTTCTTTATTACTACCCTGGATTTGAGCCTCTAAATATCGACCACCTTTGCTAGTTATGACATTGCAAATGTCTTTTGAAGTCTCTGGATCAATCGATGTCATTTCTACATAGCCTTTTCCTTCTAGAGAACCATCTAGTTGGGGTAATACTCCACAATTCCCATAAACGATCTAAAAAATTATAAAAAAAGCATTGATAAAAAGTTGAGGACATTCTTAATCATTCCCATCGACTACATTTTTACTTTGCCTTCTGCATACTTACATCTTTTGATGCTCGAGGGTCAGAAACGCAACAAAAAATAATGTTTGAATTTTCAACTACATCGCAAGGTGTGTCATAAACTTCAACTCTTCCGATTTGCTTTTCGTCCACTTGCTTTTTCACTTCCTCGGCCTGATAAAACAATGATATTTAATATTTATTTACAAGCTCTGCTGATGTAGCTGACAATGTAAGTGAAATAAATAGACACCTAACAACTGTTGGTATTATATACATTATGTATAAGCAGTTAAGTACCTACATAAAGAAATAATTAACAGATGGGTATGATAAGTCTCCAAATATATATTAAAGGCTAACTGTAGTCCGCGACTTCGACCGTGTGGAATTCGGTTATATCGCAAACCACAATTCTACACCTTTAGCAGTGATATTTTGAAATGATACCTTTTTATAAAAGTTAAAAAAACTTTGTACTTCTTGACTCGGCAGATTAAGCTGTGCCTACATGGATGGAAAATGTAAACACTGCCAATTATCAAACTTCTGAGATAAACATAAACAATTTAGTACAAATTAATGTTTAGACTATATAAATTAAATAAGTACATTAAAAAAAATACAACCTGTAATTATACAGCACGCTACTGAAGTAAAATTTCTTCAAACACACAAACATACCGGGATAGGGGTTAAGGAATTGGTTTAATGGTATTATTAGTGCACTATGAATTTAAATTTTACACTATACATGCCGGAGTTGCCTGTAACGAACGTTGCATTAAAGGGCGCTCACGGCTCAAGCGATTCCCACTACGAACTCGACTACGTGGCCGTGTAGAGGGGGGACATCCGTTGCATAATTTAGTTACAGAACAACTCGCATGAAACGAACTTACCCTACCGCGCGTAAAGAAGTTTCACTTAAAAAATCGGTTACCGAAAGGTGATTTCCTATTGTTTCGATGGAATCGAACACACAACGCTATGAATATACCAAACTTTGATCTGATATGCCAAAACACGAATGTCAACAAACACTGTCGCAAAGATATATATCTAATTTCAGTTAACAAGCCACCATCGTACACGTTTACTTCTCTTGCGTGTAAAATTAATTGTAAATAAAAGGCAATTAATTTTTTGCAAAGTAAAGGCGTTTTGCATAAACACAGATTGTGAGAAAATAGCATGAAATGCATTTGGCATTGTAAAAACAAAATAACTACAAGTGGATGAGCAAGAAACAGAAGTGTCGATTGGAAGTCAACGTACTAAAATATGGAAGTTTCGAAACAACGATTTTGTTTATTTACTGCTGGTCAAAGGAGTACACCTCGACAAATTTTTGCACTACCGAATTGGGTATGGCATCAGAATCCATCACAAACTGGAAAAATATGTTGCGAGAAGTGTGCGCCGACTACTTACTGAAAAATCAAAAGAAAATCGGTGGCAAAATCCAGTTTTTGTAAACGTCAATGTAATCGTGAACGACTTCTACCAAATCGGTGGATCTTCGGTGGAATATGCAGAGATGCACACGAGTGTTTTATGTATGCGGTTCCAGATATAACAAAAGATACTTGATGGCAACAATAACAGCATGTACAGAAAAAAATCTTACTATTATTTCAGATGAATGGAAAGCATACAGATCGATTAACAACTCGGAAGGATATAATTTCAAACATTACATCGGGAATTACAGCGAAAATTTCGCCGACCCCACGACATGAGCACACACGCAAAACATTTAAAATTATGGGCCTGCGCGAAGCTTACGATTAGAAATAAACGAAAAATCGTACTAGAAGATAGTCGTTGGACTCTCACTTATGTGAATTTCTGTGGTAACACAGACAAGGACGAAGACTACTACTCATCCTGAAGTACATCAAAGATTTTCAATATACCAAAAGTGATTTTAGTATAACTGTTTATGAACGCTATTAATTTGATTTGTATTAGTTTTATTTTTTGCAGTTTTGTTAGTCTGATTGTAATTATATTAACGTTATCATTACCCGTTGATTTCATATTTTTTTGTGCTATGTGCTATTAATATTTTTATTTTTTTACTTCAAAAATCAAGACTGTATCGATATAAACAACAGTATTAATCTTTAATGTTATTAATTTCCTTGATTCCTCCGCTAAATTGTATTTTGCACATCATTCTACTGCCAGTAAACTATTATTTAAGGCAAAAAAAAACATGATCGACTGTCTCATACAAGGTTTAAACGTTAAAAGAATAAATGGCTGCTAGAGTTTGCAGTTAGCATGAACACCTTGAATCGCACTTAATATAATCTAACAAAAAAACAATACATGAATAAAACAAATACAGCACTACTGTTGGTAAGTAATCACCAGCTCATTGAGTGCAGCGTTGCGGGCTGTTTTTCTCGAAAACGGTGACTTTCGGACATACAAACCGTCATTAGCGCCATTCCGAGCCGCCCATGATCGATGACGTTATCCCTATCGGGAAATTGTGGTAGTTTCAGAGGACAAGGGGAACAGCAGCGGAGATTGCTGCAGGTGTCAGCCGTCGAACACAAACGTGGAGTAGTTGTACACTTATATATTGGTTGTAGGTAACTAATTGTGAGCAAGTTTGTTGAAATAAACATGGCAATTGTTAACAAAATATTTACTTAATTTTCATGTTTTATTTTTCGAGAAATGATGCCCCTTTGGATGATGAATATCCGTTTATATAAAATATTGCAATTATTTCAAGCAGAAATATTTATAGGTATTTGTACTATAAAAATGGATGTACTTATTTAAAGCTGATCACAATCACAATTTTCTAAGGAAATCAATAAGACAGCAATCAAAAGATAAAAACACGTCTTCAAACGCAGCAAGAAATCCTATTAATAAAATTTAAAAGTAGTGAATTTCAACCTTAAAATGATGATGATGAGAAGTAGAGAGAGAAAAAGATAAGCATAATACTTAATTCAATAAAAGCCTTATCTCAAAAAAAAATAAGAGGATTACATAGGTATGTGTATGTTTATGCTATATGACAAACTTCCCTTCAAGAAAATGGAATGATCCGTTACGCAGCGCAGTTAACATTCCAAATTCAGTAAACCCCCGCTAGAGGATACCAGCAGTTACAAGCCCTAGCAAGCAGAGTGATAGTTCAATTTGGAACAATCCATACTATAGTATCGCGACCGAGCCTTTAATTCTCCATTAATTCAAAAGTGCACAATTTTTTCATAATAATTGTACATGCTGTATGTTAAATTGATTTCTATACATCGGATGCAATAGTGGTGTAACTAAATGACTCTTCCTTAGTATTGTACGCACAAATACGTCTCTGCGGTTTTATTTAAACACAAAATGGATGAAAAAATGGTAAGTTTCACGGCGGATTGTTATAGCGAAATAATTAATGCATAAATGAAACGTTATATAAAAAATAAATTACTGAATTAGGAACTACCTATTTTGATCTTTTTTTTTGGTACACCTATAAATTAATGTACGATAGGTACCTACTGCACAATTTCATCATTGCAATTTACTTTTAAATACCTAAATTAGCTAAAAATAAATAGTTACTGGCACTTATATTAAAGGAAAAAAAATCTGGTCGACATTTTGTGCACACGGCAAGCACTTACATTATAATAAACACACTTTTGTCATTAAAGAACGTTTTTCATGTGCTTACGTATGTGCATCGTAACAATAATTTATTCGCAATTAAGAACTGTAATTTTATTACTAATTTTTCTGCAATTGTATTACGAAAAAAAAATAAGATTTCGTCGACATGTTTGTTTTATACATATCGTATAATATACAACTTACCAGCTGTTGGTTTTGTGACGTAGACTTTTACCTGAACAGCTGATCGTGTACAATTTTGGAATACCGTTTATATGAATAACTACTTACTCAAATTCGTTCAGTTTAACTTCAAAAACTTGTAAAATTTATGCAAGTATTATATTTATATCATAAATGTATTCATAATCCCTCATAATGTTTATCCTAATTGCAGAAAAGATAAAAAGGTGTTCTTCAAATTTCAAAATATTAGTTTATTTTAAAATCTCCCTAATTATTTATAGTAACTTTAACAGTTTCACGATATTGAACATCGAATGATTAAGAATAAACCAACGTAACTAGTTAAAAAAAAAACATGGAAAAGTGGAAGAAACTTGGATAAATTATTGAGATTAAATTTTGTTGATATTTCATACCAAATATCCAAATAGTATAGTACCTAATACGGTTGAATAGCGTCAATATTAATTTAATTATTAAAGCAATTTCAAAATTAGGCTGATTTATTTTTGTTAATACCATTATTACTTAGTAATAATGGAGATTAGTGTACACTTCTCCGATTTCCTTAATGTTTTACATTGATCAAGAATATAAGTATATATATATATACTCGAAAACGACGTCTTCACCTATTTTTTTAGCTTTGAAAATTAACAAAATTACGACGACGTCTTATCGATATCTGGAAAATTATTCAAACTGAATGTCTAATACCACCTATAACGCTCTCCCCTCCTTCTACCCAATTTTACATGAAATATTAATGGATGACAACTTTTAAACAACACCCCCTCACCCTCAGATTTTGCAGAATCCAATGCAAGAAGAGATCGAGGGTGCGAGGGAATGGGGATTGTTTGTATTTTTTGACACACACACACACTCTCAACCACCCACCTAACCTTACTTGAATTATTTGCAAGATATCGATAAATTAGTCATCCTGCAATTATTTCATATGAGATTGGATCGAAGGTGAGGAGGGAGACTGTTTGAATATATTTTTTAACACCTCCCACACCGCGTACTTAACCTTACATAAATGATTTACCAGATATTGATAAAATAAGTAATAATCTAAAATTTCAAAAAAAAAATGGACAGGTATATGTTAATTTCCATTATTGACTTAAATTTAATTAAGCAGTTGTCTTAAGATATGTAAGTATTATGCATATACCCTCACTTGAAAACTAAAAAGGTATTTTTTTATTCCAGAACGGGTCGTTTTGACGTTCAAAAAATGAATCTCTTACAATTATGGGTAGCGACCGGTGGGTGAAAAGCATCGGTTTATACACTATAAATTTTCTAGTTACATGTTTCTTTGTAAACATTTCGCATGCAGAATATGCAGGAAAATGTAACTTAGTAAGAATAAACGCTCTTGTTTGCCAGGATTCAAATATTAGCGACGTATTTTTATCGACGGAATTAACTTACTTAGAATTAAACAATGTAACGGGAAAAATAACTTTGCTGAACAATATTGTTAATTTAAAATGGATAAACAGTGGTCTGCAACAGCTAAACGATTGTCTCCCATCGCCACAGTTTCTACAGAATCTCGATGTGTCATTGAATAAGATATCCAGGTTGCAACCGTATCAATTTAAAAACTTTTCATCGTTGGTCACTTTAAATTTGTCATACAACCGTATAGATGATTTACCAAGGGATGCTTTTAGAGGACTTAACGTAGAAAGATTGTACTTATCGAATAATAAGCTAAGTGCAATTCCATTTCAAATTTTCGCCCCCATGCCACACTTACGAATTCTAGATCTTTCATACAATTCACTAGTTACTGTTTTAGATCATTTTTTTAAATTTAATCGATATATTGAAGTATTACTGTTAAACAACAATAAAATAGTAAAATTAACATCAAATGCCCTTGCCGATTTAACGGAACTTAAACAGCTGACTTTATCAAATAATTCTTTGGTTTATATATCTAAAGGCCTGTTTGATTCATTAGCGAATCTGCGAGAATTGAATTTGGCCAATAATCCCATTACAAATTTGGCTAGTGGTACGTTTCGAGCTTTGAATAAATTAGAAATTTTAAATTTAAGTGGAAATAAAATTAAACAGCTAACATACGGACTGTTTCATTTCAGCCCTCGCGTTCATAAATTAACGTTAGATAATACAAGAATCGAAGTTCTGTATAATACAGAGCTATTAGGTCTTCAACAATTACAAACTTTGGAAATTAGAAACAATAAATACTTACAAGAAATAGAAGATTATGTCTTGTCAGATACCCCTCTTATTACACAGTTAGACATAAGTGGTAACTCTCTAACATTTTTACCTTTGACTCTTGCCAATTTAACCAAATTAAATTTCTTAAACATAGAAAATAATCCCTGGGCATGCGACTGTCGTATGTTTTGGTTTGCCAGTTGGGCAGAACAACGAAAAAAAAACAATGTTACTCTTTCGGAACTTAGTTGCGGACCGTATGCATATCCTAACGATATGATTCCCACATTGCAACATTTAAACTGTACTTCACCTCGTATAGTATTTAAAACCGAAACAAAACAATACCGATTAAAATCGAACGCCTTACTGGAATGTCGTTATTCAGCAAATCCTTTGCCGTCTATAACATGGATAACGCCGTCTAGAGAAGTTTATCATTGGAATCCCGATCCAACTGTTGCCGATATTTTTCACAAACACCCACATGCACACGATAGGTACATGAATCCAATGAGAAAGATTCCCCCTCGAATACAGGTTCTTGATAATGGAACCTTATATATTCAGAATGTTACCCGAGAAGATTGCGGACGATATTATTGTTATGCAAGCAATCCTGTTGCGAATACCACTGAGGATGTACTTCTGCATATAGATCCGACAGACTGGTATAACATTAAAATATTCAGTCTATTTGTAGGATTTCATTGTGCAGCAGGGTTTTTAGCAGCAACTTTAATTATTCAGTTACTGAGGTATATATTAAACAAGTAAGTAAGCCACGGTAAACAACTAAAAAGATTCTCGAAAACATTTTGTATTAAAAAATAGCTGAGTAGAATGAAAAAAAGAAATAACTTAATAGTAAGTTTTAATGATGTAGTAGTAATATGATAGGTGTATATCTGTAAATATAAATAATACACACATACTCGACACAAATTACATTTTGATATATGCAATTTCGAATGATTTTTTCGTTTATTTTCTTTTTTAGAATGGGTATTTTAAATAACTGCTGCAGTTTTTGCAAAAGAGATCGGGTATCACCCAAAGCGCGTCAAATATACGCCATGTTGGAAAATATAGAACAGTATAAATCTCAACAGTTGGAACGTCTTCGTGAAAATTATGCTCAACAGGTATCTTATAACGATGACCATCTTTCTGTAGGCTTTACTATCATAATCCTTAATTTAATAAAAATTTTATATTCTATAGATGGGAAGAATAAAAGATAATTGCGTTCAGCAAATGGAATGGATTCAAAGCAGTTATCAGACTCAAGCAAAACACTTTAAAGAATTTCGAGATTACGGATCTCACCATTTTGTTGGTCTGCGTGATCAATATTACGACCAGGTATAACAGTTTCATTAAATTTTTAAAAACGCAATAATAATATATACTTTATGTTTAAAGGTCAGAAAGGTTCGTGATTATTCTACAACTCAAATGAATTGGGTGAGGGAAAACTATGTCTTCCAAAGAAATAAAATTCGTAAATTTAGCGCTCATAAAGTCCTCAGGTTACGAGAATCGTACAAATACCAACAACAAACTTTAAACAAAGTTTTAGAAAATCTTCCTAATCTTTATTTTGATAACTGTCGAGCCGGAACATGTGGCAGAGCAGAATCATTGGTTTTCGATGATATCTCAAATATCGATGTCTATATGAAAACTTGTGTTGAAAATATGGTAGAGCTTAATCAGTTGGAGAGCAATTACAGAAACCGCAGTGACGAAGAGTTTACGAATAGCAGACCTTCTTTGTATTACACGCCAACGGAAAGATCAGTTAATTCAAATCAAGGATCGATTAATAATATAATTGCTTCAGACCGTTTTCCTGATGTTATTAGTAAAGTAGGTGGTGGTAACGATTTGGTGGCTGATTGTTCAACAAGTGAAAGTGTTTTTAAAAACGAAATAAAAAATAGCAATTGCACTGTAAATTCTAGTATAAGCTTGCCAAACTTGGCATTTGTCCAAAACCCTTTCGAGACGAGAGACAAAATGGAAACAACTTTATGAAATTTCTTTTCCTATGTCATAATTAAAATCTTAATGTATTAAAGAAACATGTCTTTATAAGACAACAAAATGTATAAAAAGTATTTTTAACTGTATGAACTTTACTATAACCGTAAATATGTGCGTTCTTCAGTAAATAGATATTTAACATTCGTTTAAATTAATTTTTCCATAAGTAGTCAAAAAAATTTCCTCACCTTTTTCAAACTTCTGTTCCACAGATTGATTTTATGGCCAGAGTATATAAGATTCTTTACAATTCCAGAACCCATTATTCCCAAACCAAGAAAGCCAAATGATAACGTCGAAGCTTCTATGTTTCTATTTCTCAAAGTCTCGGATATAGTACTGATATCCACTGGTGGAGTATCCTGTAATAAAGGTTAATTTACTTTTAAAATTTACAATAGGGCTACGTGTAAATGATACGTGTGATATAGGGAGGAAGTGTAACATTGTACTTTTTCTAATAATCAGCAGAGCTAAAGTCTAATGAAACGTTTTATAAAAATAAAAAAAAATTTTTTTACGACTGGTCGTTAATTATTATAAATTGCCCTCTGCAAATATTTTGTGTTGAAAATGGCAATAAAATAAATGAGCCCAGCACGTGTCTGCGTTGTGGATATTCCACAATTTAATTTAATATTCGTGAGGCGGTTTGCTGTAGTTACCCTGTTTTTTTTTTTTATATTTCTCTTATATATCGAGGTATTCTGAATATCGATGACGCTGTTTAGTTGTGAATATACATCTAGTAGTCCTTTCAATTAGAGATTTTTAAGACTAGGTAAAGGAACAATTGGGCCTAAAAAGCATCATAACATAAAGGAATTAGTCTTCGTAACGTAAACGTAAACAAAGTCATAGCTGGGCGCAAACCGAGCACAATTGAAAATTAAAATAACCAATATTTTGACGTAACGATATTCGATCGTGGTCATATCAAGAAGACTGTAAACTTTTCGACCTAAAGTGTAATATGAGTTACGTCAAATAGCGTTAATATCAGTGAACAGGGCATATAAAATGTTAACCATGGTAAACTATCATAGCGCAAAATACTTACTTTGACTAGTTTTCTTGGGTCATATCTGAGAGCTGCTTAACGTACGAAAGAGAGGGGACTCGGTAACTGCGCAAAACAGAATCAGTTTGTCACCAAAGTGATCTGTGCGGTCACATAATTTCAGTTTGTGTAAATGAATTTACATTTGTAGAGATGTATACAGGGTGTAACAGAAATAAGTACCGAGCTTTGAAGGGTGTAAATTAGATGCAATAAATAAGTACACAGTGAGTTTAGCATTACGGTTAAAGGTAATTTTTTTTAAATAAAATAACTTACAAGTATCTACCGAATAGCGTAGTACGATAAAAACTGTAGCTACATGGATGGAGAATGTAAACATTGCCGATAATCGAAGGTCTAAGGTAATCAAACAATTTACTACTGCACTAGACAAAATATTTTAAATACATGCAGCACTATCTATATTATTATTATGAACACGAAAAATTTATAAGTTACATAAACATTAGTTGGTAAATGAGCACCATCTGGATAATGTGGCACATTTCTACACCACCATTAAGGCAGAGCCGGGCAAACTTTAACTTCGTAGGAGCCGCTACCTGAGGTTTGTTTGAGTCACTCCATACCTTACAATGAGTACGAGAGAGTAAGTAGTAATGACCCATATTGCTTTCTCTTTTTCTTCTCCCTTCCACTCCCATATCAAGCCCCTGCATCCCGTAGACGAGCGAAGCCTTTCTCGCAACTTAAATAATACCTACGAAAATTTTCGTTCGCAAAACTGTTGGGTTTGACTGTGGAAGAGGACTCACTGTGAAATGGGGGGGATAAGAAAAGGAAAGAATCATCTCACTCGAACTCGCAGAATCAATGAGGAGCTCCTTGGCTGTATTTGAGAAGCACTCGGGTGCAAAAGAGCCGAGTTTGCCCGGCTCTGCATTAAGGCATTGCCAAGGCGTATTACCTTCTTATGGGTGGTTGTAAGTTGTAAGTAAGTTAACCAACGTAGGATGTATGACATGCGAATTTGCGTCGCACCAATAGTGAACGAAATTTGTCTGTAAACAACACGCTATGAAAAACATTAGGCTATGCGGCCCTTTTCTTTTGAAAACACCGACACAAATCTATATATTTGTAAAATTTATATTAATGCTATAATACAAAACAACGTTATGTAAAAGTATATCTTATTGTTTTTTTAATTTCGTCATAAAATGTACTGTATTGAATAAATTTATTTATNACAGTATACGTATGTACACAGTGCATACTTATTTACCTATATACAGATCATTGTAATTAGTTATATTTCAATTTGAATAGAAGAATGGAATAGATTTTAAAATTACAAGAAAATTACCTGTAAATCTAATTCGTATATTAATTTAACATTTTACTTTAAGAAGGGGTAACTTACGTTTATTAATAGATAGGACAAGGTTAGCGAAATTTATTCATCCATAGTAATTGGGACATCTATTAAAAGCAATAAAAATAATTTAGTATACTAAATTGTATGAAAGTTTTATTTCGCGAAAATAGGAAAATTAAATTTAAATACACTGATTATATTATTTCTACGTACAATATTATTTGATGGTCTTTGATTTCAGAACGGAAAGTATATAAAACTAAACCAAAGAAAACAAAAACAAGAAAAGTACAATTAAAATGACGTTTAAAGTCAAAAACATTGTAAAAAAATGCGTATAATCTGACATGTCGAAAAACTAAATCACTTGATATATGTTTTGATACCCATTTATTAATAATTTATGGTTGTATAATTAAGAAATTTTTTAATTTTTTGTAATTTCACTGTAAAATTTATATTAATGCTATAATACAAAACAACGTTATGTAAAAGTATATCTTATTGTTTTTTTAATTTCGTCATAAAATGTACTGTATTGAATAAATTTATTTATTGACGCCACTGGAAAAACATTGATCTTTTAGAATAATAAAGATTTTAAACGTCGTCTTCATTACTTTGAAAAATTGAAAACGCAATTCAAACTGTGAACATTTTGTTTTTGCTTTTTTCTAAGTAGTACTAAAAACATTAAATCGAACACATTTACTTTTTAAGAGATGTAACTTCCAATTTGCGAAACAATTATTAACAAATCATTACTATCTTAATAATCTGTGAATAATTCCCGATTTCTTTTTGTTGCCAAGACTAAGCAAGCAATATATCATTACCACAAGTACCAATATCACTGTTTTTCACCTACTAATTTCTCCGAAATACATAAAACAAATTTCGTGACACTTGCAATGTTTGCCACCACATAATAGAAAATTTCGATTTTTTATCCTTACTCCAATATGGGTGTTACGAGTCCCCCTCTCTTTCACTCTTTCATAGTCTAAGGGTCACATGTATTAAGTAGGATGACAGTGGTTGTGGCTTAAATCGTCAAGTGAAATATGTAAAGTGGTATACACCAAAGGTTTAGGCTTCCTTGATTGTAATATGTACCCATCCAACCTAACTTTGGCGGATTCAATAAAGTTTTGCGGTGAATTCACTATGACTACATCCACGTATACATATGGCATTTAAACTACGGGTAGCTTTCGCGAGATGCTAATGAAACTGAGTTAAAACCTCTTATCTGAATTTCTACAAAAAGATTTGCAAACTACTTAAGACATGGGAGCTTAGTATCACTCATAAGTTATATACCACAAAATATACTTATAATATAATATTGTCATCTATAATAATTATGTACTTTTAATAGTACTTCTAGAAAAATTACCATAATTTTCCTGCTGCACGCAAAGATTTTCACACAAAAAATCTAAATAAACCCTAAAAAACCAAAAATTTCATAAAAGGTTTAGAAACCTAAAACGCGTTTCGACACCAAAGTTGTCATACTCAGAGGTACAAAATCTATATATGCTTTGAGATTTACATTATATAACTTTTACTTATTTATTTGCTCTATAGCTTCTGTACGAAGATTTTCACCTCCCGCCTTTAAGTTTGAACCCCAGTTGATTAGCCATGATCAAAAACATCATTTTGCAGCACAAGATGTATAAAATGCCGTATCCAATCGACCAAAAAATTTATAAAGCAGGAATTTAATTCTGATTGATAGATTCCTGCTAGTTACCTGTCTATTTACCAGGCACCTTATGTAATACGTTCAAAAATGTTTTGTAAGGTTATAATTTGATATATTTAAATATATATACTTAATGTACTTCAGACACCAATTTTGTATAATTACACTCATCATTGGGTGCCACATTGCTTCTAAATTAATTTTTATGGGACTTTTACACATGGTCTCATCCGTGAATCGAAAAATGACTTTGTTAAATTAGGTTAGATTAGGCTGTGGTTTGGTCAGGTTGCATGTATTTATTTTGTAATATATGATATTGTACCTCCACCCCTTCCGCCTTTCCACATAATACATGAGGATCCAACATCTACCTCAAGTTATACATGAGAGTGTCACATTTACAATCATTTCATGGGTACCACATAGTATTATACATCAGTATAATTATATACACTATAAAATATAAATACACATATAATACTGTACTACAATGTTCCACATCTAAAATTATTCTAAATGTGACACCTGTGTATAAGGTAAATGTAGAATGCTTTGTGACAATGCGGAAAGCAGGTAGAAAAGGCGGGAATGATTTTGTAAAACAGTACAAGTGTTTTTTAGTGGGAATATAGAATATTACAAATAAAACAAAAGCAACCTAACCAAACCATAACCCGCATAGCCTAACATAGTAAAAAATATTTTGTTTTTCGATCCACAGATGGCGCCATGTGTAAAAGAATAATAAACCCATGCAGAGACACTTGCGACCAATGATAGGTGTCATAATTGCAGTAATTATATAACGTGGGTGCCTCAAGTACAATAAGTATATATAATCCTATACGTATGTACACCTATTCAGTTTCAAAGATTTCTTTTTTTGTGTTAGTGGGCTACTTATTAAAAGAATAAAATCTTGACTAATCAAAATGCACAGATTAAGAAAAGGCCTCTGACTAAATAAAAACCCCTTTAAGAAGGGATTAAAATAAATGCTTACTGGTCTATCCAATACTGTAGGTCGGTTAAGGAGTTCTTCATAATTTTTTGGGACATGATTGACAAACTCTGTTGAGTTTTCATTATCATCATCTTCTAACCTTAATTTTTTAGCAACAAGTTTAGGCTTTGTTCGCTTAATAGGTCTCTGTAAAAATAGAAGAAAAAAAAAATAATTGTTGCATTGATTTCCATAATTATCAATAAAAATATATACCTTCTTGGGTTTTGTAACTGTAGTAGCTTGTTCTATTTCTTTTAGTTTATCAAATTCAAATTCTGCATTATCCTTATCTTCAGGAAAAGGTTTACAATTTGGATCTATCTGAAAATAAAAAGGTACATTGTGTACAATGTACTTTAATGATGCTCAAATAAATATCTTACTTGTCTGCGACTAACAAATTCTTCGATTTCCTGGACTGCTCCTTGAAAACTTGCAGACTTATAAGCATTTGTTAGTTTTTCTTTATAGACAAAATATGGCTTTATATTGCATTCTTCTACCCAACCACTATAAATTAATAACAGGAAATCAACACAGTGCGAACTAAAATCTGTATAATGGTAGTAGACCATACAAGTGGTACTTACTAATTTCTGGTGCCAAAGAAGTAAATGCATTGACCGCCAGGGGTTTTGGCTTGTTTTTTTAACCATTTGTTGGGTTTAGCTACCTATAAAAAAGATAATATTCGGTGTTTATAATTAAATAATTCAAACACAATTTTTAGAAATTATATAAATATTAACAGATATGCGCACGCATTAGGAGGGAATAACGGTTAGAATAAATGTTGTGGCGCGACACTTACCAGACCAGGCCACGGTGAAAATCCTTTCATTTTTGCCCTAAAATAAAAATATGAAATAGTTATGAATGTAAATAGCCATAAATAATATAGCTTTTACCAAACTAGATCTCCCTCTTTAAATTTCACTGGCATTATTTTAACTTCACAACACAAAACGCCACGACACACCGTCAACTCAAAACTAAGATGTGAAGTAATCCAAACACCTAAATATACTTTTCCTTTGCTCTTTGCGACTATCCAAACAAATAAGTGGGGGTATTTATTAAACAAGCGCAAGCGTAAATCGTAGATCATAGATAAATAATATTTAAATTGTGGATGTTCTACAAATAGAGATATGACAAAACCACAGATGGCTCTTAAAAGAAATAGCACATAACACCATTTAACCATAAAACCACAGAGTGAAACTTATACCAAGCTTTTATTTAATTTTATAAAAATGTTTCACAACTAATGCATTAGGAGCTTTATTAATACTACTAGTTACTACAGCATGGTTGTATGGGTAGTCCAGCTGAGCTTCCTCGACATAAAATTATCTTTTACTATATCCCTATCAACAAAAGCTATAACTAAAATAAAAATGAAATAACTATAAAATGCAACTATTATATAAACTCTCATAATAAATTATGACTTTAATTAAAATATCTATGGCAGTTTTGACAATTGATTTATAAAAATATTGTACTGACAAGCAATTAAAGGTATCTAACATGATAAGTGGCTAGTGGCGCCATCATTGTCATCTTATGAACTCTTAAGCAATGTGAGGAAATGTCCACTAGTAAGGGGAAGAAGCATATTTGTGAAATCTTTGAGATATGTGTACATCTGATTGATACTTAAAATGTAGTATTTATTTACGGTTTTGTTTTGAAGAAAAGTGCCTATACTGTGTTATTTGGTGAATAATCGTAAAGTTACTTTGAAGAAGTGCTTTTAAAGTGTAAACGTTACATTTTTGTGTTTTATTTTCGATACGTTTTTGTCTCGCCAATATTGTTTAAAAAATAACATTATAGAGTATAATCGGTATGAATGTTAAGCGATGAAGAAACCACGGTAAGAACATAAATTTGTTTTAAATTTTCTTAATTTTTAAGTTTTTGCTGTTATTACCTAGAAATTATTTTGCGCCATTCGTATTTTCTTATACATTTTAAACATTAAAATTAAATTAGTGTTTAATTAAAACTGACAGTGACATTGTATTTTATTTTATTTGCCCGGATTTACTGCTACTGAAATTTCTCAATGACGTTTATTACAATTACAAGGCTGCCATACTCTTATCTTTAGCTGTGTGGAATTGTTAGAAATACACGTACCTATATTACATATACGTGTATACTTATACTCAAACTTAATAATATGCAACCCTGTCAAATATTGTTGCATGCAATTTCTTCCATTTTAAAGGATATCTAGGATACCTTCATTCTTCTTTTTTTTAATCGGTTTGGTTTAGATTAGGGTAACCCCCATAACCTGTCATGGTTTTAGCTTCAAAATGCACGTACGCACATAACGATGTAGACGTATAATCAGATACTCACAATACATTCATAAATAGGGTACCTTCCCATTAGAATATGTATGTTTATGCATATTTAAATTTTGATTAATTAGATATTGTTGTACTTTAAAGTAAACATGTAAACAACATTATATTTAGCTGTTATATTAATAGAAAGGGAATTCAATATATTTTATTATTTATATTATTTGTAATCAATACTTATGTCAAGTTTTCTTAAGTGTTTTTACCTTACTTCAATTACTTAGTCTATAAGTTACTACTTAAACCCTTCACCAATTAATTTAAAAGACTGTTTTCGATAGTCTTGAAAACCACAACGAATTACGTCAGGAGAATAATAGAAAGGCGAACGTTTAATGATGTTCATGTAGGGACATTTTTACTTATGTATTGTGAGAACATAATTAATTTACCCGTTGTCTCCTTAATTTCACTTGTTTAATGTTGCCTTTTACCTTTGATCGTGTAATTTTTTATCAGGAAAAAATATTTCAAATATCTGTTGAGATAGTTACCTATTTTATAGCACACTTTGGGCCTTTACTTTTTCAGTAATAAGTAAACTATTGAGTCATTATAAAAAACATTTTCTATGCAAAAGCGATCTGTAGTTTTGGAAAGGATCACCCTCCAACTAGTTTCAAATTTTTACCACTCACTCCATTGTGAACTAGAATGAAGATGATACCTAAAAGGTTTTCTAATAACTCGGAAACGGTAAAAAAATCCTTTTTTTCCGTGATGATAACTTAAAAATGCATTTCTGGAAAGGGAAATCCTTATATTGGTTTCAAAGTTTTGCTAAATATTGTTCGTTAGAAGGTGTATATCTGATTTTTTTTTAATAAAATGGGGGGAGGGGTGACTATTGTCAACCCTAACCTAGCTGAGTCAAGTTAATTTGTACAGTGTTACGTTAGGTAGGATAGGTTAGGTATAGGTGGGTAACAGAACAGTCCCCCTCCTCTGCCTGCAAGTATCCGATTAAATACATGTCTACACGCGGCAGACGAGCGTTGTGACGATTGAACCATTCATTTTTCTTATTAAAGACATTCAGGTTATGCTTATATAATCTGCAGCCCCAATGATGCATTTTTACCCCTTTCGGTTCGAGACTCCAAAATCCTTTTTAGTATTATCTAATCCATAAAGGAGCGTATGGTAAAAATTTAAAGTCAATCTTTTGATCCCGTATATGTGTACATAACAAAAAATTCTTTGATTACTTTTCAAATATTATATTTTTTATCAGAATTATCATAGTTATTTTTCTCGATCGTAAGTTAAATTTCGGTTAGTCAATTATAATACTAATAAGTAAATAGGTACGGTACATCACTAGTTCTTAATATTTTTTTAATAGTTGATCCAGGTTTTGTAATTTTACGCTTTTTGCAGTGTAGAACGGGATCGCCTCCGGGAACGGGAGCGACAAGCTCGCGCTCAGATGTCCTCCCAAGTTTCTGAAGATACAGAATCCGACGCATCAGGGGCACCATTGTTTGGTACTCCCATAAAGGTAATAATCATTTCACACTTTCGATTTTGATTTTGCGTGATTAATTAATTATTTTATATATTTTATATTGTATCGTTAACGTAATAATAAAATTCGCCATTAAAATGATCATGTTCTGCACACTTGTTTCCTAATAATTGACGGGAGTTTAACGAAAAAGAAGTGAAATCGCCTGTATACGTCCTTTTTTGTTAAAGACTGTCAGTTTTCTTCTGAACCAGCAATACATTGATTAAAAATAGTAATGTATAAGTTTATTACCGAATATTTAAAAATGTACAGCGTCTTATTATTGTGCTAAATGCTACATTGATTTTCGTTTGACCAAATTTTAATGATACATTTAAATAAAATCATATGTTGATTAAATGTACAAATGATGTGATGCTTATTTTTAACAATATTCACATACGATATCAGGTACCAAATTCCACGGAGTTTCATGTTATTACACTGAGCTATTGCTTTAATTGCCTTCAAATGTGGACAATGAAAAACGAAAGACGTATAAAGTGTACTCATAATTCTTAGCACTTTCGTTATACTTACGATTAATGAAAAAGCAAGGAGCAGGCAGCTTTTTCATAAAAAACATTGTAAGTTATCAACAATCTTAAAACAATTTTTATTATTCCAGGTAAATCCATCACCCGCCGATCGAGTAACTCAACAAATTCAGAGTAAACTAGGTGATTACTCACGAGTTGTTCCTTATCTTGACGGTGACCCTAAACGTCTTATCGGTGTTGACGGCGTGCCTCCACCAAGTCCTGGTGGTTTGACTGTACCTCACCATTCTTTCATATCGGTGTCACCAAGATTGTCGTCGTTGAATGAAATAAGGCCTGAATTTAAGAAACCCATTCAGAATAATGTTAAATCTTTTCGTAATACTCTGTCGCCTAAAAGTTTCGTTAAACCGTTAGAAGCAAAAATTTCTTATGAAGGCTGTGGGGGTGCTTCCACGCAGTCTGTGAAACCCGGCAATGGTATTAAAATGAATGGAGTTTTGTATTCTAAAATCTCAGCACAATCTTCTTTGGAAACTGTTTCGTCTCCCGCATCGTCCACGACAAGCTCGAGTAGGATGCATGTACTATCTAGGAATTCTGTACCTACTTTACCTGATCAGGTATTTTTTCCTTATTTTATAACTTATTTTATTGGCATACATATTATATAAATAAATATTCAAGCCTAATGAGTTTAATGTTTGGCAAAACAATTGTCATATCCAGAAGCATCATTTGTGTGAAACTCTACTATTGAATGTTAAAGTGCAAATACATTTTTTTTCAGAACTTGCCGGATTCTGCTATAGGAGGTTCTGTAATGAGCAATACTGGAGTCCAAGATGTTGAAAATATACTTAAGGTAAGCTCCTTCATGTGCGCTTGATATTTGTTAATGAGTTTGTTGCTGTTTGTTTATCTAAATTACTAATAGATAGAATATGTATGTAGTCATTAAAAACTATGTCCATAAATTAAAAAGTTAGATACTCTTTTGTGTTATATTTTCTTTTTATTATTTGTTAATACTATAATAAAATGACAATAAATAATTTATCCCAATAATCGAAATTTGGTATCTGGTTGAATCCCCTAGAAATTGATATTTATTAAATTTTAAAATAAAATAACGTATAAATATATAAATGTTACCTGCTTTTAATTAGTACAGATGTATCGTATTTAAAAGTACTTGAAGAAAAATGGTGATAAATACCTACACGTCTTTCAATTTTAAATTAAATTAGATTCTTATAAGAATTTGAAAAAAATTACAAGTAAAAGTTGACTTTAAAACAATGCCCGTATGTATAAACTGAAAACTAGAAAGTTAAAATACTCAATATAATAATCTTCAAATTTAAATAGGACTACTAATTGCTGTAGGCTTTCGTGGCCGGAGAAAATATGGATATTGGAGGTTTGGTCATGATCTGGGTTGGTTGATAATTTCATATATATAATACTCCTATATTGCTAGTCGAAGTCTAGAAAAAGATGTCGACCCAACGGTGCAGACATATATGCGTCTGTCTCTCTCGTAATAACGGGAACTAGCAATATAGGAGTATTATATATATGGATAATTCTACCTAGACCATGGCCAACAAGCCCCCAAACCTCCAATGTCTAAATAGGACTACGTTTGAAAATTAGCCTTAAACGCTATTTAATTCCATAAATACTATTACTGTACTTAGTGGCAAAAATAAGCATTATATAAATAATCTGAATGTAATGTATTGAAATTGCACTTACATTATTATTGTAAATATTGCAATAAGTAGACAAAAATATTGAGTAACTAAAAGTTGTTCAATAACTGTGAACGCACAATAATACGACCTAGCCTTTTTATTATAACTCAGGAATAGCAGTGATGGTGGAAAATGTTTTTGTAAACCCTTATATATTTCACTTAAAGTAATCAAAACCATTCAAATAAAGAAGTGATCACGAATTTTGTTATTAGTTTGCTAGTGCTATAGAACTTCAGTAGACAGTTTTAAGTACGTACTATACAATCGTTTAAATTTACCTATTTTAGGCTAATATACGGACTGTAGGCATCGCGAATTCGTCATTTAAATAAATTGGTCAACGCAATAGTGCATGTTAATATAGCTCCGAGATTCGCTGTGGTTGTTATGTCAAGATCACGAAAGTGATAAATTACCTGAAGAATGGAAGACTCCTGCTATATGTAAAAGAAATAGATTTTGTATTTATTGATCTATTTCATTCATTAATATTTCACTTGAGGGTAGCTGTTAAGCGTTATTTAAATCCATAAATACTATTTTATTATTTTAGGCGCTGCTACCGGAAGCAGAACGCCTACTGTGTGCTTCGGCTTCATCAGTCATTGGAAAAAAATCTTGAACCTCTTCAAAAATTCGTATTTAGAGGGTAGAATCTTTTTTTTTGTGAGGGAGAGCAGGTAATAACTCAGTGTCGCTATCTGTTTGTTTGTAGCAATTGAAAATCAAAAGTGCACTTTATAGTATTTCCTTGTGTCATTATTCACTCAGGTTGTTGATCGATGTTTCTGAGTTTATTTTTCCATTTTTTTCTATTGAAATAACCATGAAAATTTAATATTCCCTGATGGAACAGTTGACATAAATGTTAATGTTTTAAGTTTTATTTCATTACCGTAAAAATGTTCTTCGTTGGTTTCGGATTCCTATATTTAAACTGTACTGTCAGTAGAAATATTGTGTTCTGAATGACAAATTTAATGCAAACCCTAAGAACTCCGGAAAACTAGATTTTTTAATTAATCATTTGGAAGTATAAAATGAACATTTTTTACACATGAATACGAAGAAACCAAAAATTATGTAGCAAAACAAAACAAATTATCTGTTCTAAGTTATTCTGTTGGAACTGTCATTAGTTCTCTACTTCCAAATTGTTTATTATTTGGGCAAAAAGTTGTCAACAAGATGACTTTAATTGATGAATATTAAAAAAGACATGCAAAATAGTACGTACCGTACATTTTTTGACTTCTTGCAAAATGTGTGTTAATTTTTAAAAATCGAATAATAACCATGTATGTGTGAATACCTATTACCAACAACTGAAGTTCTTGTAGCTGTTACCCTGTGAAATATTTAAATATAAATGAATATTTGTGTTGTGTTAGTATTGAAATAGGCTTATTATGAATGTTGCTACTTGAGTTTAAGTACACTAGTACTATATTAAAAGCAGGTGGTATTTTTTAATCAATTTTAGTCACATAAAGTCAGTACTTTATAAAATGCAACTGATATCTTTTCTGTTCAAATTGTGCATATGCGTTGTAAGTTGCGTATCAACAGCCTTCCAGAAATGACCTAAAATAACCTATTATAAAAACAAGGAAATTGTTAATGAGTAGGTTTGAGAAACGACGAACATACATAATCGTTAACTACCTTATTTTTAAAAGTATTTCGTTTTTTATTTTTGCAGGAAATGACCGAAGTTCAAACTCCTTTAACTGCTATAGCAGCCACACCACGAACAGAACTAGACAATAAATTTACGTTCAATCCAGCTAACACGAGGGTAAGTTCATAATATTCTATGTATTTATCTAATCTATTGCTGAAACCAAATATGCGAACTCTGTTAGAAGATTATATTATTTTAGATTAGAAATAAAGTAACATTATCATAAGAAATTTGAACATCGTAAGACTGATCTACGAGCTGCATTTACTACACATTAGCGCTCCTTACGTTAGATTATAATTTACTAGATTTTTTTGTTGTAGATATCCGAATCAGCAACTTCACCAACATTAATAAAGCGTAAGTGAGAAAAAATTTGCTGTTTGATATTAACATTTCCTAGTGCATTTATATGGAAATTTAAATTAATTACATTTTTATCTGCAGTACGTTGTTTAAAAATAATCCGACTAATTGTAAGTAATCCATTCTTCACAAAATGTTACCCAGTGTTTTTTATTAGTCAAAAAAATTTTGTGTCTAATAACAGAAAGATAAATAGATGTCGAAAGTTTGAAATTTGGCGTAACCTTCCATACTCATTTTCATGGGTTTTACAGGTTTTTATCTTTACCACTAAATTTTAATTAAACTGTATTAAAAAGTTTAGTATAATATTCATTCAACGTATTAAAACTACCAACCCACCTCAGCGCGTGACCGGGTCAGTTGGTACCTACTATAAATATATTTATTAAACTAAAATATGTAAACCGCTTTTTCTCATATAATCGTAGAAGTGCTTTTACAGTATAAAACGCAAAGCTTATTAGATCATTAGATATATTCAGTAATTCTACTGTTTCAATAAACGAAGTTAACGATGATGATAATCAATTAGTGTTATTTGAACTACGTTTTGGTTTAAAAATATTTAAGTAAATTTAACTGAAGCTAATAATTACTTTTAAATAATTTATGTACTTACATATATTCTTACCAGTCAGGAATAAAAACTTCGTTTTTTTTTCAAATTATTAATTTAAGAAAACTTTAGTTAACGTCGTGCGGAATATGGTAGTGTTTATTTCTTTTGCAACGTTTCTAATTTCAAAAAAGAATTACTATTAATACCTTAAAATTACGCAAAAACAAATACCTAAGTTACAAACGAGAATGAATGAAAGTTTGTTACCTAGTACGGTACTGTTCTACACAACAACTGCTACAAATGCTTCTCTATTGCCTTCAGACTAGATTCCCCTAATGGATTTCGTGAAGAGGGTACAGGGTACGAGGGGTGAACTTTTATTCATACTGGCCGAGGAATGCTTATTCTTTCAGTAGTTGTAACGGAGTAACGGTAGTTTTGTGTAAGGGTATCGTGTAATTCATTTCGTATTTTCAATGTACTTTCGAAAGAATTAAAAGCGCCTTTTTAGTAAAACATTATAAATATTTTACAAGATACGAACAAAGTAGTGAATAATAAATTTAAGTTTATTTCCCGCATACAATTTGTTTATTAATTTCCTTTTTATTTTTACGTATCATTAAACGAAGGGACCGTCTACTGAGTAGTGAAAATAATTTATTTTCTGCTGTAAATGTATAGGTAGTAATTGTAAATATTAAATGAGACATCTATTTTCTTTTTATGGTAATGTATCGGTTCAAACAGGTACTTCATTAATTTATTTGAACATGTGTTTAATTAATTCTAGGTAATTCAAAAAAAAAAAAACATTTTTTTTCTTAATTTTATTGTTACTCTATAATAATAATAATAATTAAGTTTGTATTGTTAAATTTTATTTTGTTTTTTAGGACGTCCAACATCACTACAGCCTACTTCAATGTAAGCATTTGTATTATTTATAAATAATCGTTTTCTACGTCAACATTGTTTAGAATATTCAATTCCACTATTTGTTCGTTTTGTAGGATTTTATCTCCAATCGCATCAACTCCTGTCAGTAACTCAAAAATGGACCGAGAACGTTCTCCTTGTTTCCCGGTATTAAGTTCATCAAGTGGATCATGTTCTGATTCTGCTTCTGATAGCGATTCCAGTTCAAACGCGTCAGGAACTGGGACTCGTAATTCAACCGACTCTAAAATACGCCCTATTTCGAATCAATCTTCTCATGTTTCTCCAAAGCCCGAAGAAGCAAAATTAAGGTGGAATTTAGCTTCCTATTTGGATCAAAATGGTGTAAAAATGAAACACGACTTTTCTCCATCATCAAGATCACCTTCTCGTATCTCGTTATTAGATAACGAAGTATCAAATAATAATTGTTTAAATTCCAAAAATAATTATAATTGTGATAAATCTAATGATGGAACCGATTCGACGGATAGTGCCAAGTATGCAGATTTAATAATTGCAGAGGCTTTGTCAATAAAACCAATGGAACCTCTGATATCCAGCTTTTCCGATTCGGACAGTAGTGTTAAATACGAAAGTAAAGAGAGAACTTTTCCGTCAGCAGCTGTTATATCTGATAGTGATAGTGACGATGAGCAAAGGACTAACAATAAAGTTTGTAGACCAGTGAATCGTCCTAGTCCAAAAACTAAATCTAACAAGTGGCTTAACGAATCGGATAATAATAATTATTTTCAAATAAGTGACGTGAAAGGGTGTTTATCACCATTCAATAAGCAAAACGTGTTTTCTATTCCCAAATCGAAATCAAATCGCGGTCGTCCAAGAAAAAATAAACCTAATAGTGGTTCTGAAGGTGAGGTTCGCATTAAAAGAAGAGGAAGACCCCCTTTAAATAAAAACCGCTATTCAATTAGTGGTTCGGACAACGAGATAGTTTTCAAAAAAAGAGGAAGACCACCCAATCGACCGAAAAGAGCAACGACACCTAGTACTTCTGAAGACGAATCTTATGCTCTCGAGAAAATAATTTCTTCTTCTTTACTGTCGAAAAAATCTGTCAGCGATTCTGGAACTAGAAAAACTAAAACACGTGGTAGAAACAAAAGTGAAGAGAGCAATCTTATGTCGCAAAAATCAAAGTCGTGTGTTGAAGTGAATGCCGTTGATGAACGAGAACAGAAGATACACCACCGATGGGATGAAGACAGCGGTTCTCCTAGAAATGTTCAAGAAAATGGTTCAGATACCGCTACCGTTGGTCGTTATAAAAATCGTAAAAGTTCGAATTTATCCACTCGGAAGCAGTCTACGAAACTGAAAGTGTCTGAAAAAAAATCTACAACTGTGGACGTAAAATCGCCTCCTGATACCTCTAGCAGCGATTCAGAGAATAAATATTCTAATGTGTCTATATCGTCACGACATTATCCCAAAAGGCGCTGCTCTTCTAGTTCAGAAAGTGATACTTCAATTAAAAGGGAATATTCCAGTTCTCCTCACAACCAAATCAATATATCGCAAATTTCGAATAAATCGGAAACTATAGTCAAATTAAACAATGAAGGTAAAAATATTGCCGACAAAAAGAAAAGTGACACGTTACGGAAACTTTTTACTCCAAAAAGAGATTCGGAAGGAGGAAAAGGCGGTGGTAAAGGTGGAGGAAAAGGTGGAAAAGGAAAAGGAGGTGTAAATGTTATAAGAATAGACGAAAATTACGAACAAAGTAGTTCATCTGTAGACGAGGAAGCTGTACCGCCTATTACGAATCCCGTTTTATTGTCTCCTATCCCTACTACTGAAATCCCGAAAAAAGAATCGGTTTCTTCACTTGAAAATAAGTACAACGTAGACGCGGTGAAAGACGCTGGAAATGAGAAAATAAGGGTATTAGTGCGAATTGATTTAAAAAGAATAGATATAACAAAACTTGCCAAAATAAATGATCCTAAAAGGCAAATATTGGAAGAAAAACAAGAAAAAATTGGAGAACAGTTATTTCACAATGCGTCCTCGGTCAATATTAAAACAGAAGCAAATCAGCCAAAGCCTTGCACTTTCAATTTGGATTCTAGTGCTACATACGTTGATAACTCGATAGTGCAGAGTGACGATTTAGGAGGTAAAAAACATGCCTTAAAAGACGATAAAGTGAAACAAACAGAACAGACAAACAGTAAACGCAAAAGACGAACAAGTTGTAGTTCAGTCAGTTCACTATCAACAATAAGTAACATTTCTCACGGTAGTGGCAGGCAAAAAGAGCACAAAAAAGAAAAATGCGATCATAAAAGCAAACGACGAAAAGATGAAAACAGCGAGAGGTATCAAAAAACTAACAAGAACGGAATAACCATAAAAAATTTTCGCAATACCAATCATGACAGGAAAGAACCAAGAACACCACCACTTCCGCCCACGGAACAAACAAATAATAGCGATTGGTCGAAGAACTTTCAACCTATCAGAGAGTATCACTCCTATTTTGAACAAATGGACGAACTTTCCGATGACGAAGAAAGGTAGCGACTAACGAGCGCACTTTTTAAAAATACAAATAGAATAATCTACTTGTGTTACAGAGATCAAAATCGATACCTTAATGAAGCGAAGAGACTTAAACATCTAGCTGATAAAGAAACCGATACAATTAAACAATGTATGTTATATTTAGAAGCAGTCTTGTTCTTCCTTTTAACTGGTAATGCAATGGAACACGAAAGTGTTACTGAAAAGGCAGCTTTTACCATGTATAAAGACACCTTAAGCCTTATTAAGTAGGTGAACATAAACACAGCTAAATGTATAATTTATAATAATGTCCTATTTTAGATATATTTCATCCAAGTTTCGTAATCATCAGGACACTTCTTCATTCCATACGAAACTCGCAATTTTAAGGTAAGTAACTTGTAACAAATTTTTACATTATATAAAACATTAAAATATAATATCTGTTATTTTATATTAAAAATATGTATTTCAGTTACCGGTGTCAAGCCCTATTGTACAACAAACTATTTAAAATGAGAAAACACGAAATGAGAGACTACCAAAAACTCATAAACGACTATTGCACAAAGGTAAAATTTTTAAAATATACCTTACCATATAATAATTGCTAGTAATGATTTGATGTCATTTTAGTCTGCAAATGTGGCTCCCATTCAGTCAGATCACCAAGCGATCAACGGACAGGGTACACCATCATTATCACCTACTCCGTCTCCAGCTGGCTCGGTGGGTTCGGTTGGGAGTCAGTCATCAGGATATAGCAGTGGAGAACTAACCAGAGGTAATGCAAATGGTCAACCTCCGCCTGCCGCTGCTACTACGACACCCTGTATGTTAGTACCTGTATCTGTATATAATGCAATGTCAAAACAAAATCAACACATCTCATACCTGATATCCTATCAGGACCTTTGGGACCAGGCTGATTCTCTAATCATGAAAGGAAGACATAAAAGTAAGTTGACAAATTAAATAGTAATTTCGTAGGATAATACATAGTAGCGAATTTATTTAGAAAATAAATACTTAATAAAAAGTGCCTATGTGTAAACGTGAGATTTTTTTCATTTGCAGATTTTTTTATTGAACTGGACAGAAGTTGTAGACCCTTAACTCTCCACAGTTCGTTAATAGATTTGGTTAAATACGTACGGTCAGGAATCGCCAAACTTAAAAAGGACTATTTAAAATGAACGTTGAAAAACTACAAATTAGTCAATTTTTTGAGATTGTTGACCCTAATTTGTAATCATGACCGACCATTTTTAATGTTAATATATTTATATGCGTTTATAAATGTGTGTTTTAATTTCCCGAATATAACTAACGTAAAAACAATGAAAAACATATTTCGTTTCATTCCTTACGTTTTACTTCTTATTTCTTCTTGTACAAACATTAAGAAAGAGGAAGCTGTGCAGGTAAGGAATAAAAATATAAGTATTTATTTATTATCGGGTACAAAAAGAAAAAATGTAGTGTCTATATACATATACATGTGCATATTAAAGCCTGCAGGGGTGCAGTAATACACTTGTATGCAGCTTGATACCTTAAATACTAAGAAAATCAACAACTTTTATAAAAATAAAAAAAAAACATGATGTAGTATATACACTATTTAGTAAAGTATAACAACATTACTGAATGTTTGTGAAAGTTTATACAAAAACAATTTATTGCGGTTTATGAAAATAAAAACATCATTTATAAAGAAGAAAAGAATATTCTTGATTTTAATAGCAATAGTAAATACACGAAACCTGCATAATTACAATGCTTCTAAGTTTATTGACCTTACTATAGCTAAATGTAATGAATGTAATACTTAATAAGTTATTGTCACTTAAAAAACAAACGAAATATGTAATCTTCCAAGATACGAAAAATTAGTAATCCAAAATTCGAACGAAAGAAATTATTAATGTTCTTAAATAAATGGAATAGGTATATACTAATATGAAATTTTGGCAAAATACAAATATTTACTTTAATACAGTTTTTTTTTGAATTGGAATTTGTCTCACAGATTGACACTGCACAGTAGATGTGCATAATAATAATAATGAGGCATGCATGAGGCGCCATGTTGACTATTGACCTATGCTATTGACCAATATCCAATATGGTCACTATTTAGCACCACAGTTTTATTACATTGTTCTATAACCATTATAAACTTATTTAATGAGAAAAATTTAGTTTGAAAAATGTTTCTAGTGAGTGTATTTTTATGCAATTTATGAAATATTGCAGTGTTATGTTTATGTCAGAACCAGAATATTAACGATAAAAAACGTAGTGATTCAGTTGGTGTAAATACAGACACACACATTTAATTAATCTTGAATGTGGTGAATAATATAGAATTTATGTGTCTTATAATGGATTCAGTTGATTAAGGTCTGTTTTATTTTAAATAAAAATGCTTCGCATTATTATTACGTTAACCCTTTGGATATTCGCCATGGGTGATGATTGGACTACACAATGTAACAAATGTAAATGTATATGGTCAGATGGACGTAAAAAGGCTGACTGCAGTAATATAAAATTAATAACCATTCCAGATAATTTGAGTTCTGAAATAAGAGATGTAGACATTTCGTCAAATGAATTGTATGAACTAAGAGACTATGCATTTGCCAGTGTAAATTTACAAAATATTAATAAATTAAAATTGAGGAATTGCACTATAGAAAAGGTTCATAAATTTGCTCTTGCAAAATTAGCTCTCTTAATTGAGTTGGATCTTTCTCTGAATGATATAAGTGAACTAGAGGAAGACACTTTCAAAGATAATGAAAAGCTAAGAACACTATTTTTGAATCATAACAATTTAAAACAATTACATGGCACTGTCTTCCACAATTTAAGATATTTACAGAAATTTGAAGTAAATAGTAATAAAATCACATATGTGGATCCTTACATCTTCAAAAATGGACCAGCATTGCAATATGTGGATTTAAGCAACAATAAATTAAAGTATATTGATCCACAATTTCTAATGAATTTAGAAAGAATAATGAGTTTTAATGTTCAAATGAACCCATGGATTTGTGATTGTAATCTTAAAAAATTGAGAGATTTGGTAATTGAAAATAATTTAGTTACAACACCAACAGCATGTGTAGAACCTCGAAGACTTAATAATACACTATGGAGCCAACTTGAATCAAAAGACTTTGCATGCCAACCTAAAATTATAAGCATATTTTCAAATGTCCTAGACAATGTAGTAGCATCAAATGTTACAGTATTTTGTAAAGCAGAAGGTGATCCAGACCTTGAAGTTAATTGGATGCTTAATGGGCGTACAATCGACAGAGATTCTCAAAAACAAAAGTATTACATTCGTGAAGATACAACAGGCAGTTTATCTTGGTGCAATTTGACAATTTTTCAATTTGATTTTGGGGATAGGGGTGAATATCGATGTATTGCAAAGAATGCTGCTGGAAAAGATGAGAAAAATATCAGCCTCACTATAGGAAACGACTTTTATAATAAAAGTGTTTATAGAACATCTTCGTCAGGCATGCTTAACTTAGCTATAGGATTATCTGTCGCGATTGTAGTGTTGCTTATTTTGGTAGCTGTGTTAATATTTTATTGCATTAAAACTAGCCGTAAATCTGAATCAAAACTGAATCCATTGAATCAATCAAACGATTATATTAATTTACCTGTTAGACAAGAAGCTGAAAAGTCTCTCATAACTGAAGTAAATCCAGTAACAAAGCCCCCCAGACAATATTCAGCATCTGCTATGAATGGTTCAATGGAGCTTGATATTAAGACAAATTTGTTGGAGAATGACATGAGTTATGGTGAGTTTTAAAATTGTAATTATGCTATGCAATAAAAAGGAACATGACAAATATTTAAGTATCAGAAATACAGTAGAACCTCGATAAGTCAAAAACCTCCAAAACTCGAAAAAATGTTTGGATCTCTTCCCTTCAAGCCCCAAAACCTACCATTACTCGAAATCTCAACCCTCTATCAGCGAGTCCCTGCAAGCCATTTTGGTACATATTGTCCCTCTATAACTCGAAGAGTTAAATTGAATCTCTGCATCTCGAACTTGGCAGTGTTTTATTTTACAACTCGATAATTTAAAACTTATTACGTCTATAGTTCGAAGAAAACTAAGTTATCGACTTTAAAGATTTGCCGACAATGTAAGTACACCAAATCTTAACTTTTACAAGTCCAATCAAAATCCTCCATAAATAGAAAACTATAACTCGAATTTTCTCGTATCCCTTGATGTTCGAGTTATAGGAGGTTCTACTGTATTTCGTAAGCTTAACATTTTCAACACCAATATCCTTATAATTTGTCATGGACACGTAAAAGACTCTTCCATTTAAGGATCCCACATATTTAGTTTGGTACATTGGTTTTTATAAATCATTTTGTCATATAATTTCATACAAACTACTTCGACTACAACACATTTGTGCGTTTAACAATGTTTTACCACCTATTTAATAATTACTGATTTGCTTGTTCTTCTTATATTTCATATTAACTAGCTTCAACGGTTTTCATTATCACAGTTGTCTCGATTGTTCTCTTTTATTTGTAATTCGAAAACAACTAAATCTGTTTTTTCGTCCCGCATAAATAGCTACTGTTTAAGGTATCGACGATGAGTCTCATTCATTCGACTTCGAACGACCCACACATAGCAAATCTCAAAACATCAATGCTGTAAACGGAATTCAGCTTCCTCCCGATCTCCTGTCGTTTTCACATCGCAGCATTCAAATTTCTCCAACGGCAAGTTCTGTATCGATGATCCAAGATCCAATTATTCAGCCACAAGGCTACGGCTTGCCAACTAATATTCAAAGTCCTTTGTACGATTCCTTGAACATGTGCCGAACCTTACCATATTCTAGAAGTCAATCGCCATTCGTTTCGCCCTTAAATTCCGTCATGGTGACGTCTTGTCCTAGTGGATATGTCACTATACCTCGAAAACCTAGAGCGAGTTGGAGTAGTGAGTCTCCTGGACATTCCTTAATAGCAGATCCTGTCTATGATAATCTTGGAGCACGTACGACGGCAGGAGGAAATTCTCAATTATCATTAAATCGTTTAAACGATATTCCCAAGCCGAAAGTAGCTACGTTGCCCCGAAATTATCTCATTCCAAGGTAAGAAAATAAAAGTTCTAATAAAATATTTTGAGTTATCTAGCGATTTTCCCATAGGGCTACAAGTGCCGAACAACAGGTGATCAAAAGAAAACCCAATACAGAATACGAACCATTTTCTTTACTGTCTACTGACGTTGATTCCGCGAATAGTGGAATACAAAATAATTCGGGAGCAGGAGCAATGGTTAAGGTTCCTCCTCGACCTCCTCCGAAGCCTAAAAAACGTTCTTCTACAGGGCCATTGTTTGAAGATGAGGGTGAAGATGGAACCGAAGTCTGAGAGATGTAATATAAATAAATATCCATTTTATTAAATTAAGTTTGTGATAGAACTGGCGAGGTACCAGTGGCAATAAAGTAAGAAATTTGTAATTACATTTCATTGTATCTTAAATGTAAAATAAAAACAAATATATACATAAAAAAAGAAGATATTTCAAATTAATATTTTGATAGAATGTCTACTTAAGTAGATAAATTTCTAATACATAATTATAAATAATGTACTGTCAAAAAAAGGATCATATCTTCAAATCCCATTCCGTTAATTGAAATCGTTTATTGTTGCTGCATTAAAAAGTTCATGTAAGTGTACATGTGTGTATATAACATCCTATATATATATATATATGTGTGTATATATACATGAATATTAATCGAGTAGCTTCATTTTGAATTCAAGAAGTTAGTGCGTACCTCCCCAAAACAAAGTGAAACTTCTTCAGCTAACTCTGAAATACATCGATACAGTTTCATTTCGGATTCCGTGACGGCTCATCTTAAAATCTTCATTATACAAATTTCACTTCAAAAACATCAAGAAAAAAGAGAAACATTATTAATTGCATAAATAAACTAACCTCTTACGAATTATGAAATAAATTAACTGATAGTGGATTCTCTAATACAATACATCATGTTAACAACAAAAGTAATTGATTTAATAGAGAATAATTTAAAGTTTTTCAACAAAACTCGCAGGAAAAAGACCTGTTCTACCGGTGCGTTGTTGAGTTCCTTTGTACCATCCGTCATCTCGTTTTTTAAGTACATACACAATATCGTTTACTTGCAATTCTAATTCGTATTCGGTATTTGGCGGATAGGGAACAATACAACGATACCGATCGCCTTTACATTGAGCAGGTGTTGTTCTAGTATTATTTTCAATATCTAATGAATTTGATTTACGATGATTTTTAGAATTTAATCGTCGTTTATTCTCCTTTTCTTCGCATCTAAAAACAAGGAATCATACATATAATGTTAAGTTATGTGAATGTTAATTTCTGAACCTTGATAAATTAACCGGAAGGCTAAGTTGTTCCCGGTGTTTCAAACGTTGAGAAATCATCGAACCAGCGTTTTTACTATGGCTTTGATCTAGTGTCGATATTTGCGGCATTTTACTAGGGCAGGAACCGGATCTGGAATTATTATTTTGCACTTTCTTTAATCGATATAGGTATTATTTCTATATTTAAAAAACGTGCAATGATGTAATAATGATAACCGCTTAATTTTTTTAACAAATCATTTAATCGCATGTTCGCATGTACTTTCACTGTTCTAACGTTTATAACTCAATAATAATACTAAAAGCTGCTAACTTGCGAGATGTGATTTAATTTAAACTTAATTATAACTGTTAAAATTTACAACATAAAAAAAAAATTGTACCACAAGGGTGATTAATCTTCTGTTTCATTTCTTTGAAACAGGTTTTATAGTTTGCAAGTACATATGAAAATTGTGGTCCAATAAGAGCCCATTATCTTTATATTTATATTTACTGGTGATTCATTAGTTTTTTGTTCTCCATAAGAAAAGCATGGGAAAGAATACTTCACTACACATTTTCGTCTGTATAATGATTAAAAAAAACATTCACGGACATATGGGTGAGGCAACATGAATATGTTTAATATCCTTTCTAATGGAAAACTAGAAGTTCAATCAGCCACCGGTAAATATCAATATCATGAGCCCTCTTTAGACCAGAGTTCTTCTCATATGTACTTGCAACTATAAGATCAGTTTGAATAAAATACTAAAATCCACATTTCTATATGAAAACGTCTAAAAAAAATCTAGAACGGAAGCGTGTAAGTTTAATTTACCTGACATGTGTAGATGATAAAACAGTTCCACTGGCAATATTATCCTCAAAACCTGGGTTATCTATTGATAGTAATGTGGCAGGAGGAGATTTAGATCGCTTGCTTATAGTTAATCTACTTATAAAATTAGCGGTTCCTTTATCTAATCGTTCTCCGTTCTGTAAATGAATTGTCTTTTTAAATGTTGTTTTTACAATGTATAAAGTAAACCTTATCATCCGATTTGCCCACGTTGAAAACATCAGCGGTAGTAATAGGGGCTTTAACAGAATTAGCTGAGGTACAGTTATTTGTTTGCGAAGTTTGAATAAAAACACGCGAATTTGTGTTTAGCGATGGAGTGGAACATCTTGGAGGTAATTCTGGCGGTAACCCACATAAACTTTGCTCAAAAGTGAGATGTTTTGTACAGTTCGAATATTTTAACTTATTTTTTTTACCCAAGTTCGTCATATACGGACCTTTTAAAGCTTGGCTGAATGGTGTGATGTAGTTACCAGGAAAAACACCACTCTTCTGGGTGTTTCTTGAAACACCTACAATAAGTTACTAGTTTCACATAAAAAGCATAACTGTTTTAACGAATTTATTGAAATTACCTTTAAACCAGCCATCTTGACATCTTTCAGTAACTATGTAAGTTTCGCCCTTTTTTAGTTCCAATTCATCAGGTTTTTGAGGTTTATATGAGAATAAGGCAATATAACTTGATGGTAAAACTATTGTCCCAAGCACATTAAAATTTGAATCGTCTACTTTTTTAATTAATTGTTGGCTGTGCGATTGAGGGGGATCTAAGAACTGTTTCAAGACAATTAAATATACCTTCTGGTAGATATTATTGCTTAAGAGTAATCTACCTCATTTTTATGACGTTTTTTCTCTTCTTGAAGTTTGCCATGATTTAAAATTTGTAATGCTGAATCTATGGAGCTTTGTTGCTTATTAGGAATATGTGAAACCCTACAAAACGTTTTATCTTATATGCGTTGCACTATCGATTTTTACATATTACACATAAGTGCATTAGAAAGAACTAAATTGTTTTAGTAAGTAAGAAATAAATTGTAGCAGTGGAACATACTTTATAGAAAGATTTATTAATGATCTTGCTAAACTATTTAACTCGACAAAGGCCAAAGGGAATATCCCTATTTTGTCTTGCAAACGGCCTTCGGCCCAGTTTTCGTCAACTCTTCGTATAACTATTATCACTTCACCCTTGTTAAACGAAAGGCATCCCTCTTCGTCATTTTCCATGTGAAAATCATAAAGTGCTTTACATTGTGGTATACTACTTGGCAATGGAGCTGCTGCCTAAAAAATAGAATAAAAAGGTTGGGCCATATTTCTCTGTTTAAATATTCGTTACTTACGAGAACATAATTTGCCGGAAATAACCCTTCTCTTCCGTTACATTCACCGTAAAACCAATTTTGATCCACTTGCTTTTTAACATTAATTAAATCATCTTTCCTTATTTCTAGACCGCTAAAATAATATCTTAACTTGTAAAAATAAACTATGGAATAAAAAAAATACCCAATTTATGTTATGAATATTTTTTTTTATGGGAACTAATCAAATTACATCTAACTAAATTATGTCAGGTTTTATTGGGTTAAACAAACTAAAACCTTGTAATTCTACAAATTTATGTCATATTATCTACAATCCTTTATGCATTATAAGCATAGCTATACGAACTGCCCATTAAATTTCATTACTTAATGTAACTTTGAAGTTTTTGGAATATATTCTAAGGCAGTGCCAACGATAAACTAAATAAATTATGAAGTTGTAGCAACAAATAAATCAATCCAAAAATATGGGATTAAAAACTTTATTATTAGATGTAAAACCCAGCCGACGTTTCGCCTAAAAGCTAAAACCTAATCTATAGCTTTCAAGGTATGTTAAGTTAGTTGAGTAGTTAAGTTTTAAAAAGCTTCGTAGAAGACGAAATACCGGTTGGGCTTTACATCTAATAAAAAAACTTTAAATCTGTATTTTTGACTTCGTTTATTTGTATATTTTTAGATCAGGAAAAGAAATAGGAATTATAAATAATGTATTACATTTACATACCTAGATTCTTTTGGTATATAGTCATACTCAGCTCTTGCAAGAAAATATGTTTGAGGATCAGTAAATCCAGTAGCATCTGACAGCTGTGTATCTTCGGTAGTAGATTTACTATTATAATTTTCGTGACCATTTAGGTCTTTTAAGGCAATAAAATCATTCACGTTTTGTTTGTCCTTTCTTGGAGCAGTACTTTTTATTCCCTCTAATATTCTCATTAGCAATATGTTAGGTGGTAAATCTTCTATTCTTGTTGGAACCAATATCCTACATTCTGGACATTTTAATTGTTTATGTTTATTGTAAATCCCTTCCAAACATTCTCGACAAAATGTATGTTGGCATGGTAAAACTTTACTTGAAGAATCCAAACGTTCTAAGCAAACAGAACATTCCAATAAATCGTTTAAAATTCCTTCATCCATTACATTTATCTGATTATATGTAGTTTCTTCAATATTTCACACAATTAATGCTTTTCTTTTTTTAGAAAAAATAACATCACTTAAGCATAAAATTACACAACTGTTATCAGCAAGTATAGATCATTGGTACATGTAGGTATAAAGAAAACATGAAGAACACGAATGTTGAGTTTCAGTACGAAAATAGACTAGTAGAAGTGTAATCACTAATTTGCGGAAGTAATCACATATAAACTGTTAAAAATGTAACCTACAATAGACTTTCTGCAACATTTGTCCACATCTCACATTCCTATCAATAGGTAATTTATTAATTTACTTCACTTTCCCACATAAAAATAATCACCTTCGGTATACATAGAATTGTATAATGAAATTGTATACATCGCAATGATACATTACAAGACCTAGTTATCGATGTGAATAAATCATAACCAGCGCGTTTCTCACACCGACAACTAATTCCAAGAATGTACAACATAAGCGATTTCTTGTATAGTATATAAGCTTTGTTTTAGCCTTCTAATTTAATTAATGTATTGTAGTTGACGTGCATAGCATATTGCTGGGATACTTTAATTNAGTAGCATCTGACAGCTGTGTATCTTCGGTAGTAGATTTACTATTATAATTTTCGTGACCATTTAGGTCTTTTAAGGCAATAAAATCATTCACGTTTTGTTTGTCCTTTCTTGGAGCAGTACTTTTTATTCCCTCTAATATTCTCATTAGCAATATGTTAGGTGGTAAATCTTCTATTCTTGTTGGAACCAATATCCTACATTCTGGACATTTTAATTGTTTATGTTTATTGTAAATCCCTTCCAAACATTCTCGACAAAATGTATGTTGGCATGGTAAAACTTTACTTGAAGAATCCAAACGTTCTAAGCAAACAGAACATTCCAATAAATCGTTTAAAATTCCTTCATCCATTACATTTATCTGATTATATGTAGTTTCTTCAATATTTCACACAATTAATGCTTTTCTTTTTTTAGAAAAAATAACATCACTTAAGCATAAAATTACACAACTGTTATCAGCAAGTATAGATCATTGGTACATGTAGGTATAAAGAAAACATGAAGAACACGAATGTTGAGTTTCAGTACGAAAATAGACTAGTAGAAGTGTAATCACTAATTTGCGGAAGTAATCACATATAAACTGTTAAAAATGTAACCTACAATAGACTTTCTGCAACATTTGTCCACATCTCACATTCCTATCAATAGGTAATTTATTAATTTACTTCACTTTCCCACATAAAAATAATCACCTTCGGTATACATAGAATTGTATAATGAAATTGTATACATCGCAATGATACATTACAAGACCTAGTTATCGATGTGAATAAATCATAACCAGCGCGTTTCTCACACCGACAACTAATTCCAAGAATGTACAACATAAGCGATTTCTTGTATAGTATATAAGCTTTGTTTTGGCCTTCTAATTTAATTAATGTATTGTAGTTGACGTGCATAGCATATTGCTGGGATACTTTAATTCACGAACGGCAAATTGTTTATATTTTTAACTAATAATTATAGTTCTTTTAAATAAAGTGTTATTACAATTTTTGGATTTCTTTTTAAAAAGAGAGACTTCCAACGTCGTTCGTTAACTACCTGTTGTCGTTAAAATGTATATTCGTTAATCAGTATTCATGTTTATTTTTTAAGAAAATAAATAAACATTGAAAAATGTAATTACATGTTTATGTGACCAATAATCTAACATCCTTATTCACAAAAAAAATTATATATTGCTCATAATTAAAGAACTAAAGATCATTTGCTTTCTTTATGTAATCCACGCACCGCCATCATATAACCCTATGTATATTTCTTATCTATGATATAACCGCCATGAAGCGTGAACCATAGATGAGGATGAGATGATGTTACGAACGTATCTAATTATCATTATAATTTGTAATAACTTTCGAAATCCAAACTAAAACAACCAGAAAAATCGAAAATATTATGCAAAAGTCATAGAAATAATAACCAGCGGCCACATCAAAATATTTAGTGTCAAAAATATGTAGATTTCAAAATATTAAAAAGTTCAAAAGATGGAACTCACGATATAGTTTAGGAAAATTAGGTAGGTACCTACTTAAATAAAAAAATACGTGTAATACAACACGCTACTGAAGTGAATCTTCTTCAAACACACAAACATAGCGGGATAGGGGCTAAGGAATTGGTTTAATGGTATTATTTGTACACTATGAATTTAAATTTTACACTATACATGCCAGAGTTGCCTGTAACGAACGTTGCATTGAAACGTGTTCACGGCTCAAGCCATCCCCACTACAAATTCAATCACATGGCCGAGAGAGAGGAGACATCCGTTGCATGATTTTGTTACATAGCAACTCGCACGAAACGAACTTATAATACCGTGCGTAAATAAATCACACTTAAAAAAAAAACAGAAATTGAAATTACAATCAGCCCCGGCGACAAAAATGATGAGACATAAAAAAAGTAGACTCACGGTACGTTAAAATGAAGAACTACGGCAAAAAGGTCTAGAATGGGTTGTTTCATATTTATGTATTTTCTTAAAAAATAACGTTTATGATTGGGAAATACAACTAAATTTTATGCAAGACAATTTATGGCGAAATCGACCATCGCGTTTCGCTAGCCAAAATGCAAATATTAATTACGCCGGGAATCTAACCAGCGACCTTAGGCTTTACGCACTAATCCTCTGACCTAGGCCTCTGACTACTAAGCTTCGAGAGGTCACAACAGCAAGAACCGTTCCGTTGCGTAACGTTAGCAACCACGAATAGCAACGTTGCTTGACTGTTGAAAACGATTTATGTATTGTAAGAGAATACTTGCAAAAACTGGGTAGAATATGTACAATAATAAATTGGAAATTACGTCTGACAAAGACACGGATGAGGTACCTTTTAGCGGCTATCATGAAATGGAAATTCTTTTCGAAAAACTCAAGTCTCTTAATTACTACTCTGAGTTTATTATTCCTTTTAAAGTAAAACCAATTAATAGGTGCGTGAGCGGAAGCAATCATTTACTTTATTTTACATTGTTAAACAACTTGCAGTTATTACTTCATGATACCTACAAATTCAGGGGAACACTTCTGTTTATTTTGTCAATTAGCGACATGGTTAATAAGAAAGTCGAGTAAACATTTTGATGAACCACATGATTTTGAAGATCCAAACAATACAATTTCTAGGATATTGATTGTGGTTAGAGAGGACGTAAGTTTTATACATTTGAGTGCCATCAAGTACCAAATTTAATATTTTCGAATAAGTAATACAATCTATGTTTCAAAATTAAATTGAACATTTCTAGGGAACGACAATTGATTTCCCTCCAAATAAATTAAAGTCTGGAACTGGCCGTCATGTCGTTTTTATTTTAAATAAACTTTGCGACATGGCTTTACGAAATAATGAAATTAAACTTGTTACGTACGTAAGAAACATTCTTTTATTTTTGAATGATTTATATAGATTTTGGAGTTTATCGTTTTTTTAGACCAACAATTGTTGAAAAAGATACCGACGAAGAATTAAAAAATCAAAATGTATCAATCGATAATGAATCGGAAGTAATTTTGGATCAAATAGAAGACGACATGCTCAGAGAACATTTTGATTATTCGGACGATGATGAAATAAACGCTTATGATCTTACTAAAACAAAAGTCGGATTAGAAGGTAAAAACGTAGACTCACACATTAATGAAGAATTATGGCAAAAAGAGCTGGAACGAGTTGTTCCATCTTTACGTGTTACCTTAAAAAATAACGTTTATGATTGGAGAACACGATTAAATTTTATGCAAGACAACTACGGCGCAATCAAGCAAAATGTATCGACAGCTAAAACGCAGATATCAAAAATTTATAAACGTCTAACTTACAACCTGGAAAAAATTAAAAACAGAGAGAAGTATCTTAACAAAGAATTTGAATTGCCTTTAAAAAACTACATGGACAGGTTACACAATTTGTCAAAAGTAAAGGAAGAGTATAATGAGTTGGGAAGCGGACTTAATGAGAAAATGCGGAATTTAGCATTGTTAAGTCAAACTTTGGAAAATTATAAACAAAAAGCAGAAGTTAGAGGCAGTTTTGTAACAGACGGCAGTAAGTTTACACAATATTAAATTATTTAGTACAACTCTTCTTAAAAATAAAATTTTCAGCTCCACTCGTAAACATAAAGAAAGGCATTTCAAAAATGAAATCAGATATCGTAACGATCGATGTTAGAATTGGAGTACTACAATGTTTCCTATTTAACACGGACCTAAATGAGAAAAGTAGACTAGAAAAAGTTGATATTGTTAATTGATACAATTTTGCACCCTCAGTTACTGTTTATATCCTTAATTTATTATTAATAAAAATGGAAATGCAAGTGTCAGTACCAACATACCTCATTTTAACTCGAAATAACTCAACGCAAGCTGGCAAATGCCATAAAAATATTAAAAGTAAATTTTATAAAAGTATACTAAAAACGCAACTCCATTTAACAGAACAGACGTTTAATCTTATAAAATATATATATATTTGGCAATTAAATGCAAGTGTCTATGAAAAATGCACATTTTATATGAATATACCAACAGAACAGCGTACATTCTTCCAATTTAAAATTGAGCATTACTTAAGGCAAGATATGAAGATGACGTTAATTAAGTGTGATTGATTAACGTTTTTACATACATTGCATATGTAGTCACTATGATGTACATTCATTTATACCTATGATAAAAATAAAGTTGAAGTGGAAGACGAAATCTAACGTTAATCGGTCACCTTTGTAATACATTATTTTATGTATATGTTTGGTAGATATTATTGGTGATCAAAAAATCCGCATCCGTATTCGCATAAGTAGATGTCATTAAAACCCACATCTGAACATTCCTAATGATACTGGATATTGAAGAAAATATATGTAATATTATGGCCTTTTTAAAATGTTGTCACAAACTGTCACTCGAAGTTAAACTTTTAAGACCGACTTCCATCGCTAGTTTCCCTGCTAGTATGGCATTTTCTTCTATTCTACACCATAGGGAGGCCATAGCTACCGTAAAACACAATAAAATGGTTAAAATAACTCTACAAATATGGAATGTGATTGTCAAACCAAATGGAGGATGTGTTGCAATAGTTGTTATAACTACACAAAGTAAAAGCATGCTTGAAAACCAATAAAACCGTTTTTGGAGTTTCAGTTTATTTAACGATGAATCACATATCTTTATTGATTCCATTAATGTAATTTCTTTATCGTTTCTTTGGTATGGAATGTAATGCAATTTTTCTCCTTCAACAATTTTTAATGAAGCACATACGGCTTCATGATCAGAGTAACTGACGAAGTTTTCGGGTATTCGGTTTGGTAATGGTTGCGAATATTGCACAGATACAATTTCTAACCGTTTGTGACAAGCAAACAGTATATAGTCAATTCGTTTGCCAGGTTTTTTTGTTTTGAGCAATGCCTTTGAAGTATAACTGTTCTGACAGCACTCGTTGGTACCATCCGTTTTCAAATACAATTGTTTTGCTTCGGTGAAAGAATCCCTCAAATTCGCCCTTTCAACAATAATCCTGTAAAATAATAATTTCCCCTAAATAATAGAAAGGAATGGGATTCTTATTAAATCTGATTTTTGTTAATGAAAATATTGACGCTAACCTGTAGGCTATACTTTCTGGTTCAGTATTTAGATCCCCTGCTAAAATTATTAAATCTGCAGAAGTTGACGTCATTTTAATAAACTGAGCAGTGTCGAACGCTTGTAAAACTCTATGTGCAAGATAATCATCACAGGTTGTATCATATTCAGCGTGTAACTGAAATAAGCACATTATTAATAAAAACGTTTATCAAGTTCTATTCGTATGTAAACTGCATCGTTAAGTCAGTTAAATAAGCTGATACCTTAGTAAGGCTTTATAATATTTCAGTAGCAGAAAATACCCACTAGATGGAGTCAACGTCTCGATATGGATACCTTCTTATTATTAATCAGTGAACCGGAGGAGTAACAAAAATTGTTTTTTTCCTATTATTCTACTATATTGTACACATACAATACAACAAATACAAACTATTTGACTGTTATTATAAGGGCATACTACTATAAATGACCGATTGGTTTAGTTCTCCCAAACAATATATGCTATGTGCATATACACCTAAGTGTGCATATATCATATCCAACTGCTATCATTTCACTCGAGTTCTACGCACCACACTCGAGTGCCATTTACCACATTAAAGTGTTACACACCACATTCAAGTGCAATGCACAATAAACAAATGCTGTCCAATACACACTAAGTGCCTTGCACTACACTCAAGTGGTATCTAATAAGTGTTACGCAACACACCCTACTGTGTATATAGTACACTCATGCTCCATGAATAACACTCAAGTTGCATGCATTATATTTAATTGCTATATCTATACTCAAATTCAAATACTTACATGAGCAGAATAAATATTAATACTGAAATTTTTCACTTTGATTCGACATAGTCCCACCCCCTTTCCTCCAAACCAATCACCATGTTGAATCTTATGAACATATCCATTAACTGGCCACTGATGAAACAGAACATCACACAGGGCAAATTTTGAAAAAACACAAACTCCTGACCCAACAACCCCACTTAAAATAAAAATATTTTTCATGATAATACATACAACGTTGGAAAAACCGACCTATAAAAATAATGAGAATATGGAAGTGTATATTCCACTTTTTTCCTTATTAATTCAAAATCAGCAGTTGACCAGACTTCTTGTAAACAAACGAAATCATAGGGACCACTAGCTAAGAATTCTGCAATAGCTGGTATTCTAATTTTACGATCTTTGGAAACTATTGGAATTCCCCTAAAATAAAAAACTTGTAATCATAAATTATTAACTGTACTTATATTAAATAAGAACACGTATGTTGTATTAGCCATAATACCTACCAGCAATTCAACGTAAAAACCTTTAAATCCATTTTAAAAGATTCTACACACACGAAACAGAATCCACAAAACTACATACAACTGAAAAAAAGTTTAAAGAAATTATTTACCAAAGAAACATTACACCAACATTTACTTGGATAATACCATTGTTATGTTATGGTTTCTATATGGGGGGGGCAGCAATACATTACCATAGACACACAGACTCCAAGGCAATCCGAGGCCGGATTTTTCATGCAATGATCTTTCTGACCATAGATAAACCCCCGACTCAAAAAATTCTGATTTTCCAAATATCCAAATTCAATTCGTAGAACCAAAATAGGACGCTGGATGGAGCCACTGAAGGAAATACAATTGGTTTATTTCTTATTGGATACTTGAGGATAGCCGCAAACTAACAATAAAATTAGAAAACTTCTTTCAACAGTGTGACATATTTTATTCATTAGACATTCCAGCGCCTGCTCATTGTGGACTTCACAAATGTTTCGATTATTAGAAAAGCCTTTTTTTGAAAAATCAAATAAAAAACAACTAAGCAGCTCTATGACGTTATTTTGTTCTAAAAACAAAACCAAATATTATACCTAAATAAATAAATAAATACTTCATAAGAACAAAGGCTTTCACGGCCGGAATCCATAGTAGAATGAAGAAACGTAACGGAACAGTTCACTTAGACCACGGCCCTATAGACCGAATCTTCATTCTACTATAAATAAATACTTATTGCTAAAGATATGTAATTATTAACTAGCACGTATTTATTTACGTAATATTTAAATATTCATTTATACAAGATAAAATCGATAAACTTTTATATAGTTATACAATATTTGCTAATAATAAAAGGTGACAGTACAGCTATTAAGGACATTATATTTGTTTGTAATAATAATAATAAATAAAATTAAATGCAGTCATTTTAATAATCTTTGACTAAACCCAAACCCCGTGTGGATTTTTATTTGTAGGTACAGCATTTTCTAGCTGTCGCGGAGATCCTATCATTTTTCGTGTGCTCCCCGTCCGATTTGGTCCCTCGAACAAATATTTTACTTCCTCAGAAGGAGCGATACTGAGACTTCGTAAATTTTCCTCTTTCATTTCTTGCACTAATCGTTCCAATTGTCTTTTTCTTTCAATTATAATCGTTTCCAGTGCGGCGACCTTAAATCGTTTATTGTTATTTTCCTAAAATCAAAAGTACGTACAAGAATTGTAAGAAAAGAAGAAGTATACTTGATTCTTCAAAGCTTCTGCCGTCATGTGGTACTCCTCGGTACTATATTTGGTCTGTTCCATGTCTTTTTGTAATTTTTCGATTTCTAATAAAAGATTTTTTTCTAATTGTTGCCGATTTTCACTTTTTCTAGATTGTAGCTTTTGTTCTGATTGTAATTCCTCCATGACTAATCTATCAATAATAATAACTATTTTCATTTCACAGTTTGTAAAATAAAGCGAATTCGCAATTCAAACGGATTACCTAATTTTATTCTTACGTTGAAGAAGTTCTGTTTCACAATTTGCTAATTTTGATCGCAACAGTGTTATTTCTGAGGATAACGTTTTTGCTTGTTGCTTTACTATTTCCGACTCTTCTTCTATATAATATAATGCCTGTATCTAAACAAGTGATATGTGAAATGGCAAATGTTAAACAAAACGTTATACTCATACCTGTACACTGTTTATTTTTGTAATACTCATCATTGATGAAATTTCTTGAGATAGTCGTTCTAACTGAGTTTCCTTTTCTCGTCCTTCGTTTTCCCAATACAAAATTTCGGCATTATACTGAAAAATAACTTATCTATAAAGTATCTAATGATAGTATGATAGATCTTTTACCTTTTCCAAATCATTTTGTTGAGAAGCGAGTTTTTCTTTTTGATTATTTACTAGAGAAATAAGTTCCTTATAGTGGACATTAGTAGAAGAGCTAGTGTTATTAAGTTTTCTTTTTACATTTAACTTATGACTATTAACATTTACATTTTCTTGAGTTTTATTATAATCCTAAAATTAACGAGCTAATAATAATGATCGTATATAAAAGAAAGCTAACCCACCTGTGGAATATATTTTTTAATGTCATTGCATGCTGACAAGTTTGGCGGAGGAGGATCTCTATAGGGTGGAGGTCCAGAAGATAATAAAACTACTTTACTTTTTGGTAGATTAGTTATTTCATTATCTGTACTCTTTCCTTTCGTAGGACTTAAATGAATATTTGAAATGATTGTGTCACATTTTAAATTTTAATAAGAAGAATAGGTTGTTTCTTACCTAAACCTGTGTGACTGACGCATGCTGACTTCCTGTGAAAAGCATACTTTTTGATTGAAACAATTGCCCGAATTATTTAAAAGTACAAACGGTTCTGGTGTAGTATTGGGAGTAGATATGGAATACTGGTCAAGTTGAAAAGCTAATTTTGGACTGTTTGCAGTGACGTATTTTTCCATCGTTTCGATTTTGTGCAATATAAACTGAACATCGTTCGAATATTCCCCCCATTTAAGCAGAACCTAAAGCAATGCGTTATGTCAAACAACGTCAACAAACCTTTATGTGTGTTTTATCAAAGGCACTTTTTTCTTTAGGATGAAAAAATTTGCCATAAAATTGAAAATATTCATTACTTTAAAATACTACTTTATCAATCGACTTAAAGAAAAAGAAGGTTCTCAATTTGACTGTTTTTTTTTTGTCTTTCCTTTGCAAAGTATGAGTCGGTTTTAATTCCCTTTTTTTAATGGATAAGCCATTTCTTAAGGGCAGCTCCATTTAAATTTGAAGTAATATTCCACCTCCGAGGATGGAAAAACAGGGATGATTCCCGGTTTTAATTTTTTAGTTTAAGTTTGCACATATATGTAGGTACCTAAGAAAAGTATTGAAATCGGATTTAAACGTATGCAATATATTTCAATTATTTTATAAGTAACTAGCGATCCATACCCTCTTCCCCAGACCCCGTCAAGCTGCACTTTAGAAATACATATTGAGTTTTTGATGTGAAAAGCTATTTTTATCAAAATTAAATGCAGCACTTTCATCATGTGTAGAACTAATTATTATTAGTCGATAAATTTTTGGAATCGGTTCAGTACTTCCAAAGATTAGCCCCTGAATATAAACAAACAAACAACTTCTTACAGACATAGATTAGTCATGTTTTAAATAATACGAGAGTAATTTTTAAAGACCTCCAATGCATCAACCGGGATAACATTCTAGCAATTCACATTCAAATTAAATAAACAAACGACAGTCTTCAGAACATAATAATAGATAAATGTATAAATGGATATGTGTAATATGTATAGGTACAGTAATTTTTTTCTATATTTCGTATGAATAGTAGTCCCGTCCCATTCATTACTTATCCTTAGTGTAGAAGTTATTGTTAAATATTTGAAGGTGTATCTACATTTAAAAAAATAATAATTTGTAGTACATTTGTATAACCATAATAGGTCAAGTTAGTTTATTTTATACTATTAATATTAGGTAGAATACTGGATGGTAGTGTAATTTGATATGTATTATTAAAATATTTATGTATAAATTAAATATTTAACAATGGTCTCACCTGTAATGGGGTGTCATGTGGTGATAATTGCCTTTCATTATTTCTCCAACGTTCAATAAGCGTAAAACGACCAGATTTACCTGTAGCATGAGCTAATGCGTATACTACATTCTAGAAGTAGAGAAATGAGAGGGTGGTAATAATTGTAAATTCCATGTAGATGTATGAATATAAAGGAAAGGGTACATGCCTGACAAGTTGTTGTTTCAGTTACTCCACAAACTATTCTTTGAATTCCATCAACCCAAACTTTCAGTTCCATTTTACATTATTTTACTTTTATAGAATTCAAGTAATTAAACCCAGATACAAAATTCGTGAATCTTGCATGCATGTTTTGTAGTACTGACCTCGTTTTGAAAAGTAAAATTGACATTTTGTCTAATGGAAATTTAATTAATCGTACTGTAATTTGTTTCCAATAGTAGAAATCCAGATCTTAAACATTAGGCATTTTTCTTTAAAAATGTAAACCCATCAACACACCACCCATTAGACTACAGCCATCTGAAATATTTCTGCTCTTCAGTAATGTTGGTGTACTGATTTTTCTGTTACTGCGTTGCCAAACTACTTATCTGTTATTATACCGAGTATCCTTTTTCGGGATACAAAATTTCTCTTGTAAGTAATGCAATAAATAACTGTAATCGAATACTTGTATCTCTTCGTTTAGTTAATTAGTATAATGTGCATCAGGTGTTGCAGGTTGTGATAACGAATATTAATGTAAATGCATCTGAAAAATAAAAAGTAAACGATCCGATCCGATACAGTTGTAAAGACTAATCAAACATAAAAATTTACTTGACAGCAATAAATGGAAAAGAAGTAATTAATAAGTTTTTTATGTATGAGTCAATTTCTTGTGTGTTTCCTGTTTGCACATGTACGCTCCTGTTAATTATTTATGCATGAATAATTATTAGCCGGAAGTGGCACGTAGTCCACACATTAAATGGAATGTAATGTTTCGTATAGTATATGAAATTTTTACTGATTGAATAAATATTCTTACACGGCAATCAGCCCAAGACTGAGTAATTTATAAAATTAACGATGTGTAGGTATCTCATCAAAAGTAACTTTCCCCACCCCAAACCTACCCCGATATAACTTTAAAGGTGCGAAAATTAAAGACAAAAGTTTATGTAGGTATAGGTTTTTAAAACAGGTAGCATTTAAATAAATTGTCTTTCCTATATTGATTTTAATGATGTAACACACATTTTCTAAAAGAAAATTGATTAGTTATTATTTTCATCTTTTATGGGGAAACCTAATACTTACAATTAATCACTTGGGAATATTAAGAAGAAAAGCAGGCGTTAAATATTTATTTATACAACTTCGTATTTATAAAAAGTTTTGTAAAATAATTTAAAGATAAACGACGACATCAGGTATATTATGTTTTACAACATACCTAAATAAAAAAATTCTTATTATTTTTTTTACATTGTAATAGAAATACTAACTGAGCAACTTCTGCTATTAGCGACTATTTCTTCTCTGATGTAACTTGGGCCGCCAGATCGGCAAATTTGGCCATGTAATCTACGCTGTTTTCGGAAAATAAAGACTGCAAATGTGCATCCACCTAAAAAAAAGAAGAATGTACGGATGAACGTTAAAAAAAAAAACAATAGAAATTTATTGATTATGTTTGTACATCTTGGGACAAACGCGAATCGTCAGCGACTTGAGGTGAAGGTGACACTCGATCTGGTTTGGCTGGAGATTCCAAATGACCAAGAAAACTACTGAGAGAAAAATCGGCCACTTCTGCCGTTATCCACTGATTTTCGATTTCTTTTAAAATACGCGAAGGACTTGCCGGTGGTGTCGAGTTTGGAAGAAGACCTAAAGATAATGAGTCAACTTTAGATACAATATAAATAACATTTTAATAAAAAAGTAGATGATATCGAGTGTTATTTGCGAGGCTTAGAGGGGGCGGTTGCAGAAAAGTCGCACTCAATCTTTTGTTCGTTTACATAAGATTGAAGACAGTTCTCTAAGAAAAGTATAGCTATAAAATAACTAGTCTCATTCGTGATAATAAAACGAAGTGGATGAATTCTGTGGAAGTGAAAGAATTATAAACCAAGGACTTATAATGAAGGCAGCGGTTACGTTAATAAATTCGCCATACCTACAAAGCTAGGAATAGCAGCATTTCTGTCAGAAAATTCTAGCAAACCGCATATGCTGCCAGGTGAATTGACTCTGCTGGAAGTGGTCGCATTGTCGTTTATTTCAGATGGATTCATTTCTTTATTGTCTTTTATTCTTTCGTCTGCCGTTGTTAAAGGCATGTCACTATCTTTTTTACATGATAATGTTTGGCGCAATTCTTGTTTTCGGTTTTCCGAAATGTTCTGATCTATTATTTTAAATGACGTATTATTTATTTTTAGCGGATTATTATTATTCGAAGTGGAATCATTATCAGTCGCATTATTGGCATTATCGGTCGGTACAAGGTTCTCCATTTGACGAGGAGTCGTCGTTTTTGTAGTTGACGATTTAAAATTAACTTCTTGTGGAATAATGTTCATCTGTACAATCTGATGAATGGAATTTTTATTGGCGAGCAGAGGTAATCGTCTTTCTACAACCAGCTTGTTGCTTCTTCTGTTTTTTCTATTGATATATTTTGGTCTCAGATGCTACAAAGAGAAAATTGAAGCGATCCTTGTCTACTTTAATTGTTTACCTTCTTACATCTAAATGAGCACCCGTGATTGATTCAATGCCATAAGTCCTAGGATGTTTGAAAACGTTCGTCTGCATTTGACTTGAAGATCTATCGATTGAATTGGAGGAAAATCCTTCCCCGGTAGATATATTTGTCTAAAAAATGTACGTAACTTCTTTTTAATGACTATTAATAAACGATAACTAATACTGTATAGAATCAAAGTCACACCGAAGGCGGTTTCGTAATAATTTTATCTGCTGATCGAATAGTGCTTTTGATCATTTATAATCATTTATTATTTTAGAAATCCATCTGTGTGTTGAATGAATGATCTGTATTGCTAAGGATCTCAGAGCACATCGCCATATTTGAATAAGATAATGTATTGACAACAAAACCAACCTCGAAAATGACTTACATCCAAGGCGAAATGTCGATGGTTGGTTTTACAATAAAAGTAACGTTTTCTTTTTACCCTATCTGGATTTGACTCTACACTATTCTTAGAAGAACTGGAAGAAATGAAAAGTAGGTAACTAATAGCTTACTTCCAATTCCCCGTTCACTTTTTGATCTGACTGGATGTTTTTCAAATGCTTTGGAATAACTGCTTTGTTCTTTGGAGCGTTGACTTTATCATTGTTAACGTAATTACAAGAATGGCCGCACGGACATTTATAGATATTTTTTCCAAAGTGAAGTTTGGCGACAGAAAGAAGTTTTTGCAGTGTCGATGAAACACTTCCGCCGCTCGTATCTTTCGAGTTATTAACAGATGTATTATCTGTACAGCGGTTTACTTCGTTCAACTCCGAATTGTTGTCATCTTTTATTGATTCTTTCTTTGTATCGGAATCCCAACCATATTCCAATAACAGTTTACAATTAGAACCATACTAAAACAATTAGAATACGATTGTAATATTAGTACACATACATATATATATATACAACAGTGCATCGATATTGCAAATAATTATAATAATACGTATGTATATAAAATATATACAGGTAATATTACCATTAAATACAATTCGCCGATAGTAAGAGTTCCACAATCGTCCACGGTCCATCCTAATTTGGGGTTTACTAAACTTTTCTTTTCATTATCGTACGATTCTTCCAAATTTTTTACATCCCCTTTATTCGTACATTTATCATCATCAACATCCATTTTAATTTCTTCGGTTTCTTTGTCATCTTTTTTAGTCGTGATACTTTGATTTTGTAAAGCTAACATCGTATTAATTGCCTCGTCAATAACGTTCCGAACGTCTGTTAATAGAGCCGCATCAGTTGCATTCACATCAGTATTTGCGATGATAGAATTTGCTTTAACGGTCTTTTCAGCGGTAATTTCATTTCTGCAACGTTTTGCGCCTCTGTTTTTTAAACTTCCTATAATAATAATAATAATAATAAGAACCGCAATAACACCCGCTTGCGTCAACTTATAAATATCTATTGTTTTAAATATAAATCTTAAACATTTATTTGTCACCTTTTAAACTCCATGGCTGATAATCAGAAGAGCGAATTCCTAACCTTTCTTCGTATGCACTGAGGCAAATACTGTGACTAGTAAGATATTCTCCCAAATTAATTGTAGGCATATGTAAATCGTCCGTTTGTGGAGGGTACAAACGAAGTGACGGTTGAAATAAATTTTTATCTGCTTCTGTAGCGGTATTGGTTGGTTCATCTACGATATTATTCGTAGAATCTATAAGCTTTTCGTACTGATTGTACATAAGGAAAATTACGAGGTAACAGTAACAGTATTAAATACAATAATAAAACTACACTTATTAAATACCTATTTCATTTAATTGTTTATTTATTGTAACTAATAAGGATACGGCCGATGAAATAGACGATCTCCACCTAACATTTAAATATTCCAAGAGCGAACTTAGCCGTTTTTGTAACGGCAACAGAGCTTTAATTCTAGGATTTTGGGCTATCAATTGTACTTGCATCCAGGAATTGCCGTCCTTCGGTGTAACTTCAACGAGGATTCTTGTAGGCAGTTTTGGTTCTTCTTGTTTTTCTAAGGGAAGTAATTAAATTTTCGTTGTTAGTACGCTGTTCAAATTATTGGTTATTAAATAAAATTACCGTCAAGCTGATTTAGGCGTCGTAACGCGCGACAAAGAGGAGTTTTTACTCGAACTGTCTTTCCCCTGCATCTTATTGCAACATTTCCGCGATACATTAGCTCATTTAATTTCATACGAATTTTTTCGCTAACGGAACCAACTTTTCTTCTCAATTCTCCATAATTAATTAAACCATATAATTCTTGAGCAATTTTCTTAATACCTAAGAATTTAGAAAATTTAAAAAAATTAATTTGATAAAAAATCGTAATAATAACCATCAGAAAACTTCAAGTGTTTTGATATTTTATGCCACGTGCGATAATAAAAATGTCGTATTTGGTCTTTTGTTTTAAGTGCTGAATCTGGAATTCCTTTCTTTTTTAGTTTGTTGCTTATGTACAAATGAATTGCTTCGAAATCTTTTCCATAATAATTTAGGGCTTCAAAAAACAGACTTTTGTCTTCTGGCGACCAAGAAGGCCTCAAAGGTTTCTTATTCGTTTCCAATTTTTCTTCTTTTAATGTAGATTCTGAAATTTAAAATTTTCGAAAAATCTTTAAACTCTCGCCAAATTCTTTTTTCTTTTGCAAACACTCGGGTTTCGCCTAGATAACAACATAACTATTGGTCTTTTCCAATATATATTTTATATGTACTCCTAGTGGAGAAGCATCAAGTGCTTGTTAGAAAAAAGATTTTGACTAAAGAAACTTTGAAAATGACGACTCATCGTACAAAGGCACCGTCATCAAACATAAAATATATATTCGCGTACCTTTACGTTCTAATGGTAATGGCGGCGTTGCTGTAACTGAATCGAGTTTCAACTTTTTGAAAACTCGGGCACTTGTACGGACTTGTTGACTTTTACATTCTGAACCTTCAGAACAATTGTATGTCGTGACAGAGCCAAGTAGCTCTTCGATAGGAGTTTCGATTTTGTCTTCTGCGTTGATAACGGTAGGAAGATCTTTCTCCATTTTGATGCAATAATCTGAATGTTTGTATGAACTTCATAACACTATATTTCCCAATACGTCAATGACTTGAATTTCATTTAATTCCCGACTAATGATTCATCTGAAAACCGTTAATCAATAGTTCATTCAACAATTGGAAATTAGCTGACTGAATAGGGAACTATTATATGCATCATTTCTGCTTGAACAGAACGAGTCATTACAGCTCGAAGTGGGCAAATGACTTCAGTCATATCAATCAACTGCTTTATTTTTGGAGAAATTATATGGATTTCATTTTCGTTAACAACCATTCAAATGATTTTGAATTCTGAATCACGAAATGGATGAAAGAACAGCATTCTCTCTTGGATGTGAATTGTCACCAGAGTCAAAGGCGATTCTGGAAAATTACTGGGAGAGTATGCAGCATTTTCTTCCCGAGGTCCGTATACGATTTTTTTTATCGTACTCCTGCTTCGAAAGTACAGTTTTTCCTAATTTCAAGGACGAAAACACAACACAAAATAAAAGAGAGACTCACCCCAAATTACCACTACAAAATTTGATCACTGCGGACGTGTATCACCCACTTTTTAATTATCAACGCGGGACTGGTTCTACACTGTAACAATTTATATGAATGTTCAGAGTGGGTGTTGTTACCCAACTTAAACATCCGAAGGTTGGGGGTGAAAGAAAAATAAACGGAAATAAGGATTTGTCGAAAAACTTGAATACGTTCAATACTAAATAGTCAAAATCTAAAAACCACCATTGGCTAGAAGTGACTTTAACTAATGCATGCTTCGACAAACAAGTAATAAATGATAATGCCCTCATTAAGATGTAGACGAAACACGTATTCGCAATGATCCAATTTTATAGTGATATTTTTAATCATTCATTTACCACAGTCTGCAACTTCTACTGTTTATTGGTTTGTTAGGAAGGTATATTTTAACAGCCACCACGTGACAATTATCACCCCGACCGAAAGGGAGGGTGGAAACTACGCGGAGGATTGTGAAATCGTTTTTAATAAGGAGTAAATGCAACTTTTTAACAGGGAGGAAATGTTGCGCATCTGTACTTTAGGTAGGAGTATGGTAAAAAAAATACTCCTTTTTCAGTCTTCAAGTATTATTTTGCGACATAAACGATAGGATTGCTTTGCAACGTAATGGAGTGACACTTTTGATTGATTAATGCATTTGAAGATTCTGCCCCTAGATATTTATTTGAATTTGCAGAGTAATTTACTGCAAAACCTTACATTGATATCTATTAATTATAGCGATCGCTATGATCTATAATTCCTACCCGATGTTGTACCTAAGTCATTGTCGAAAACCGAATATCCTAATATTCCTACCCATGACCCGTAATAACGTGAGTAAATAAAGGTATAATATGGGTATAATTAAACGAAGAATAACAAAATCGAGAGGAAAACTCGAACACTGCCGAGGTAGCAAGATCATAAAAATAATTCATTAATTATTATTAACTGTATAAAAATATAAAAAATAATTAAAAATATTAATGTAAAGTCTTGTGTGATCAAACAATCTTTTTCGTTTTACCATTTAATATTTTAATTACTATTATATTTTAGAATTGACTATTCGATGTTGTTGACATAATTGAAATTTACGAAAAAAATGTTTAATAATTCCAACATTGATCCAGAAAAAGGAATAAGTAATCCTACGAGATGATTAATGTATTTCGCTTATATAATACGATGAAGGAGTAGGTAGTATATATTTAAACAAGAAGACCCCTTAAAGTACTTGTTTTAACTTTACCACTACATGACATATAATCATCATCAAATGACTAAAATTAAATAGAAATAAGGTTTCATCGGCATTAACTTCAGACGAAAGTAATGGCGTACAAAAATTCAATTGAATTTTTAATATTATAACAACTTTATTTATTCAAGTAATGTTATCATAGAAATTTATACGTACCTATACAATATAACCGTTTAAATATTGGTCAGTTTTATTCCAAGATGATACCATATGAAAAATAAACAATGGAATACACACAAACAGCACAATTTGATTACCGTCGATTACCGTTTTGCATCGAGACGTGCTGGTGTCTCTGGTCTCTGCTACCGTACTTGCACAGTACTTAGTATAATAGGCTACGTAGGTAATAGTATTAGGTATTACTATTAATGTTTTTCAACGTAGCATATCAAGTAGTGTCTTATTGTATAATCCTTTAATCGTGTAAATAAATTGTACATACGTTACTCGTCATTATTTTTATTCTAGTGTCCGTTATCGAAAATACGGTAATTCCCAAGTGAGAAATTCTATTACTGAACTAGAAGGAAAAACTTAATCTGAAGTGAATGAGTCTGAAAAACGTCATGAGTCATAAGTAACAATTTCGATATTGTCGATAAGGTATTGTCAATGGTCGAACATACGATCAACTTGCGTCAATGGTCGAACATACGATCAACTTGCGTCAATGGTCGAACATACGATCAACTTGCGTCAATGGTCGAATATAAGATCAACTTGCATAAGCGTCAAATCGGATGCGCACTGCCTTACTACGCAAAGAACTTCTGAGCACAATTTGGTGACGCTCTTACGGCCAATGTCGTAGGTTACGCGTCCCTATGTGTGTTTTACTTACGCGAACTCAATACCTTACAGTAATTTTGTTATTCTTTTTAGTGTTTCAAATTAAACAAATTTGATTTTTCAAAGATAAACGAAAAATCAGATGTATTAGCTTACATCCCCCTCCCCCGCGCTCTTAAACCACCTAACCATCCAGATTAAGATGAATCCTTCATACTACCACAACCTCTACACGCTTGCTCAATAAAAGCATCCCATACCTGTGATTGTGTAGGATTTCTTCAGAAAGGATGAAGGGAAAATTAAAATTTGTAGGATTTAACGTATTAAATGAATAATGTGTTAGTAGACGACGGGCATGCACCCAGCAAATAATGTAAAAACTCAAAGGCGAGCAATAAAATGACAACAAAACTAATAATGAAACAATATATTTATATTTTTTTCGGTAGATTTCAAAATATACAGAATTCTATAAGTACAACTCTTGTACATTTGTTAAATTATCACAATCAACTATCCAGTACACCTGAAACAAAAAGTTGACTTATAAAAATCTAAAAGTTTTTGAATATTCACCATTTCGATTTAAGTAAAAGGCGAGAAATTACGTAGTTTCCGATATAAGTGCTTCCGTTTCCTCTTTTCTCCTCGAAGCTAATGTTACATAAATGCCAATGAACAGGATAACAATCCCTAAACATAACACTCCATACCCTGTGTATATTGCAATATGAGGTAAATTAAGTAACAGCCTCACGAGGCCAGCATATTCCCCTGTAAGGGTTGCAGTTTGTCTAAACCATAGCACTGGCATAAATGTTGATTTAACGCTATTCAGTAAACTGAAACATTACCTGCGTATGTGAAATTGGAATATGTGTACATGGACAAAAAAGTTTGTTTTATTACATTTGATTATGTTATTGTTAATATATTGTCCAATAAAAAAGCAAATATTGAGTAATAAGACGTGCGAGAGCTGGTACAATAAGAGAAAAATTTTCACCTTATGCCTGAAATGGGCTCTAAAAGTATATTTATTTGCATTTGTGCTTTAACAGCCATTGGAATGCCAGTGTTGGGTTCCAAAATCATATAAAATTCGTCTTCTGATTTGTTAGGAGATATTCCCGAAACATTCTGCAGGTACTCGTCGTCTGCGAGGTAAAAGTGAGGGAGTGTAACAAAAGCAGGGGCACCGAATCTAAAATTTTACGCGAAAAAATTGCACAAACTATAAAAAAGCTATCCTTATAATATTAATGATTAAGGATGAGTTAGAATTCGACAATAACGTACTTGCATGCTGAAACATTACGAGCACCTGTTGGAACAGGATCTCCATAATTGAAACATGCTAGCTCAGGATAAAGAACACCATTGTCTAATGTGAAATTTGTCGAAATGTATTTTCTTCCGATAACTTCTAGCATACTAACATCCTGTTCGTATGACAACCAAACAGTACTAGAAACAGAATAAGAGGCATATTGATACAAACAGTGGTATAATGATAAATGGAATTAACCTGCAAATATCTGGAGAAAAAACGGCGACTTTCTGTACATGTTTAACCGGTGGCCACACCTCTCCCGTAGTACCGTTTACGTAATCACAATACCCTTCGTAAATATTCGTGTGTGGAACATGATTCCATAAATCCATCATACCTAGCAAGTCGAGATCGGTTCTTCCCGTATAGATGTTGAAAACACCGTCATATGTTTCAGAATTATTTCTCTACAATATAGTTAACAGAGAAGTTAATTTAATTGAATGTGCAATACCTACTTGATGGAAATTAATTTGTAACTTCTGAACAACTCACAAAGTGGTGAAGTATTTGTCAGGTGAATGGAGAAGAGTACGGAAATAAACAATAATAGATCTACTTACACCATAAAACCAGCCAAATTTGTTGAAAGGAATTGATATATTTAGACTAGATGCGAAATCCAAAAGAGGATCGTTGTACCCTTCAAACAAAAGTTGCCTTGCACTTCTGGTTACGATAAGAGATTCGTTCATGACTTTCAAAAATCTATTTACAATAGCTTTAGTAATAAACGAGCTATGTCTGACATTATATGCAACAGTCTAGAAAATAATGCGTCATGAATATTAGGTACCTTTGATGCTCAATTTGTGCATGCACACTACGAATTAGCAAATTAAAGTAAAATAAATAGAGAATGCCGAGGTTGGAATGTAAAACTAACTATCAATAACATAAATGTTTCGTCTTTTTTTATTAAAACCAGATTAAGAGACGACGAAACGTTCGTTATTTGTCCCTTTTCCGGTAACTATTATTAATCTTATCATTAGTTTTTACCGCAACTATGACGTTCACGTTTACTATTTCGTCTTCAAGACTTCCATTGGTAAGTTCTGGTACGAATTGCCACGTTCTCTTTTGTTGGTACGTGAGAGTGCCATTTTCGTGCCATTTTAAATTTACTCTTGTATGAACTTCTTCGTACACGTACGGACCGCATTCTTGAAAATTTGGTTTAATGTCGAAATTACTGGCAATAACTTCGTCTGCATTTGTCCAGTTGTACAAGTACAATTCTAAATACATAGGAATCGGTGTTTTTTTCCACATATTATACCCTTTGGAGGTGTTTGTTAGTGTTAATGCCTAAAATGTTGGAACAGAATTCCTAATTTAGTTTACTAATCGTGTTTTAATGACAATCATTACAAAAAATTCAGGTAGCTAGAATCGTAAGTTTATTTGATAATTGTTGACTTTAGGTAAATTTCAAGGTTTGAAAGAAAGTAAGTAAACCAACGAAACCCATTCCATAGCGACCAAAAATAAGTCCACGTTCTTTTCATACTGTAACTTACGGTCCGTCCTTAGCAATAAAATAAATTAAATTATTAAATAAAATTAAATTGTATTACAAAGTTAAGTTATAGTAGGAAACTACAACACTCACAAAGTGAGCGAAGGTTTGGGTGTGGTTGTTATACTACTCACTTTTGTTTTCGAATCTCGGAAACTACGCAAAAAAAAAACATTTCCGTAAGCCTAAAGTAAACAATTACCGTTTCTTACTAGTTAATAAACTGACTTTTAGTGACACTTATAACGTATAATATAGAAGACGCAACCAGCTACTTACATTAAAAATAATAGAATTGTACGCTTTTTCCCATCCAGCTAAAGTTAATATGGCTAAACCCAAAAATACTATAGATAATCCGTAAAGTGTACTTAATTCACATTTTCGAGAGCAACAATTCATCTTTCTGTAAAAAGTAATTGTGAAATGAAGTAAATTATCACAAGTAATATATATTAGGTCACATTTTGAAGCGAAAAAGGGTTCAAATTCATCACTTTCAGATCTTTAAGGAACGTGTTGAGTTACTGGCGGAAATAAATTCAAAATTGTTTGTTCATTTTTTACATATCTAATTATCAGAAAAAGTAAGTTAAATAATAAAAGTTTGTAGGTAATTATTTAGAGTTTCATTTGCAGGTTTTTTGTACCGGACCTGCGAATTTACCGCAATTATTATATAATATATGCAATGCAAATGTAAAATTTAATTTTCTGGTTAGTCCCTACTACATACCCCTTATATTATTGTCTAAAAATGTTGCAAAATATGTATTTTATTGTTTGACACTCGCAATAAACAAGCGTTTTAACGAGAAACAAAAGATCGTTCTCCAATTTTAAACAGATGCACTTTTGCACATTAAATTTTATAAAAACTGAGTTATGACGCGGCAATGTAATATGTATGCATGTATGCTCAAAATACTTTTTAGTACCTACGTACCTAAAACGTACAAGCGATTTAAAATAATACATAGACTGTATGTGCATTAAATATTTCGAAATTTTGAATTATATGAATAGCGCGTTATCAGGAAGGATTACAAAGATGGGTATCGAGTTGATAACGATAACCCATGAAGAAGAGTTAGTTAACAAAGGAAGACAATCAACAGATTAATAATTAATAGATAGTACCTATATATATATAAGAATGAATTTAATTTAATTTTACGTTTAATTTTAGTCAAATATTACAATTCGTATCAATATTAATTACCTGAGAAACAAGTTTTTTAATCACTTATATTAGTTTAAAAAAAAAAATTGTGTGCCATGGGTATCAATGAATAACAAATATTATTTTAACGATGTTTTAACATGACGAAATAATATATTTCCAATAAATCGAAAGTTCACTTAATTACACAAAGGAAGTAACAGAGATAATAAACAAAGAGTTTGTTATTATTACTCATAATTCCGTTCCTATTTACTATATATATATATGTATATATGTACTTAACTAAAATCTTCAACACTAGAAACAAAAATGAATCTACAAATTAATTGAAGTTGAAACAAAAGCAGCAAATGAAGCAAAACAGCAGGTAATTGTAGGTAGATAAGCGTAAATAAGATGTTCAAAAACATACCTCCTTTTTGGTTGTAGTAATTCACTATATGTATTTCTTAGCCTGTCCATGACTACCTACTAATCAAATTCAAAAATTACTTCATTCTAAAACCTAATAGGAGGGTCAAAGGTTGTTCACAAATTCCGTTATTTATGAAAACTGGAGATACACAGTGGACAAATTGATAAACTGTACTCTCTATATTAGTGTTAGTAAATCCATTAACATTTACAATAATGACAACTGTTTAAAATTTGAAGTAAACATAAAACTCATTTTTAAATTTTATGAATGCTTGTAGGTGTTAAGCTTTACTGTCCAAAAATTACAATTTTTCTCATACAGTATAATATTGCCATTTATTATATATAACAGTACTTCCCCTAACTGCACAAGAAGAAATACTGGAAGGTACAACATATTAGTGTTGGAGGGACAAATTAACAGTGATACAATTGACAACTATAATTTAAATTTATAACTTACATCTCATACGATAACTGTTTGTTTTTCTTTCAAATGCACCGGTACGAAATATATTGATTTGGAGAAACAAAGCAATACACCTATCGAGGATCTATATTCGAGTGGCAAATGTTTGTGAAGTGGATATAAAGCAAAATCATATAAAGCTTATAATACAATAAACTCTGGGCACTCAATTTAAGATGACTCAATTGTTTAAAAGTCGTTTCTAAATTCTGAATATACAAAGGAAAGTGCTTGGGAATTCTTATTTTTCGGAGAAAAACAAAAAAGCAATATCTAGTTGAGGTTGTGAAGACTATAGATAGATTTCAACAATTTTTGTATATAACATAGACAGTATATAAGTTGTACCGAAAATTTAATAAAATAGTAGAGAGCGCTGTAATGCTGTAGAGGTCCTCTTATTCTAAAAACTAAGTTCTTAATCTAGGCATAATTCTAATTTATTTTTTTATCTTATTTTACACACCTATATAATTGTTTATTAACATGGCATTTTTTTGAAAATTAATTTGTCGCCCCAGGAGCCGTCCGACTGTGTTCAACGAGGGTTCGTTTTGTTCGCAATGAGGACCCTCAGGACAGAATAAAGTACTCAGAACGTAATATCTTCGCGAGGTACTCCAATTTAAAAAAAAACGTTCTACAACCCGCGGAACCCGAGACATTCATCCGACAACAGCCGCTGAGCCAGATGTTCTCCCTATCTTGTGTCGTTACAATGGACCGTGCAAGAAGCCCACACTACTGCACTGGTTTTTCGATAAAAAAACTGCAATTGAAGATTATCGAAAAATTTTTTTAAATGCAACTAACCGGGTATCCATTATGTAACGTCACGGACGTTTCCCGGCCCTTTCTTAGACGTTGCCGTTAACTGCTCACTAGCCACTACGTAGTATTAATTCCTTGTTCTGTTGGTTCTGTCCATAGATTGGGGTTTTGTCAAATAAACGTATGAATAAATCAAATAAATCATATGGAATTTGGGAGTATGTGGAGTATGAAACGTTGCGCTAGTGTTTGTTTAATCTTGTTTCAAATTCAATAAAATGTGAAACGATAGTGTTACTGTGTGGTTTTGGTATTATGTGATTATAATATAAGGCATACGTTTTCTACACTTTTTGATTTTCATTCAAGACTTATATAAAAATGTAATTTGACGCCAATTTAACTGCAATTATATTCTTAAGTATAAGCTTGTTTTTATCGAATAAAGAACAAAAATGTTAAATCAAGTATCAGTTGAAGCTGTTTACTCTGCTACCTATGTTGAGAATTATTTGGATTGTGTGGAAAATTTACCAGATGATTTGCAGCGCCTTATTTCAAGAATGCGTGAACTTGATGTCTACTATCTGGGTAATTGAACCATATTCCGCTTTATGTTATTTATAAGTCGTTAAAGGAATGCAAATAATCCAGAGATCGTCCTTTCCCCTAATAATATTTTGTTGTTATAGCTCGCGTTAGAGAAGCTGAATATCAATGTGAAATATGGAGAACAATCAGCAAAGAGAATTTATCAAAAAAGACAAAGTCATTCGCAAGAATGCAACAAGCACTTATTGCAGCTCAAGAATTAGGAGATGAAAAGATGAACCTTCTTCAGAGCATCCTGGACAAAATAGAGATGAAGACAAGGTTGCTTAATCAGGACTTTAAGAATTTAGGTTAATTTTCTATACAAATATACAATAACGATATATGTATGATTAAAAATTTAATTCTTCAGATTTTGGAAAAGAAGAGTCTACTGTGGACACTAAAGAACAGCAGCCAACTTCTAACAATACTTCCACGTCAACTTCTTTGTGTCAGAATGAACGTCCCATCAAACGTTTAAGAAGAACTAGACATGATACATTAACAGGAATCGATCCTATCAGTGATGGTAACAGTGGGGATCTGATGGTGAGAAACCAGACTAATGTGAGTTGTGCTCACACTAATAACATGAGAAAGTCAATTAATGGTAATATTAACCTAAAGTTTATAGAACATTATGCCCACATTTTTGTTTTTATTAAGGTAAAAAGAAGAAACGCAAATCACGACAAATCCAAACATCTCAACGCGAAGATTCTCCTCCCAAGGAAGAAGAGACTGCAATTGATCCAAATGAACCTACATATTGTCTGTGTGATCAAATTTCATTTGGTGAAATGATAATGTGTGATAATGATTTGTGTCCAATTGAGTGGTTTCACTTTTCTTGTGTGACACTAAGTACAAAACCTAAGGGTAAATGGTTTTGTCCCAAATGTCGTGGCGATAGACCTAATGTTATGAAACCTAAGGCGCAATTTTTAAGAGAGCTAGAGAAATATAATAAGGAGAAAGAGGAAAAAACATAGTCCGAAAGAAAATTGAAAGAAGTTCTTCAATAACATAAATATATGCTGTTGCATTTGCAAATAACTACAATTTTTATTTCTCAAGTAAAGTGTATTTTTTCTATTTTAAATAAACTTTCAAAAGTCGGCATTTGAGTTTTCCTCTTATGTAATAGGCAGTGTTATTAGTATCTGATTATTTTAGGAAACGTACATATGCCTGTTACCAAGAAAATCCATGCAGGTAAGTGTGCAGTTCTTCAATTTTCTAATCAAAACTCGCTAATGTGTATCACGTAAACTTTAATTAGTAAAGCATGATGAAGTTTTCCTGATTTAGTATTTTAAGACTTTACATTTGACTTAAGTAAAACGTACGTTGATGGAGATTAGATTAGCGTACACCTCGCTGATTTTCTTGAAATATTAGTATATTTTATTATTCGTAATGGTGATTCAGAATAAAAGTTGTCCAAAATTTTTAACACTTCCCCTTTCACCCACAACCCAATATTACATGAAATATTTATATTTGAGGGATATCGATAAATTTGTCATCCCGCATATATTTCATGTAAGATTTGATAGAGGGCGAGAGGAGAAAGAAGGGGGTTATTTAAACCTTGTACATATTTTTTTATTCACCTTCGCCCCCCCCCACCTAACCTTACCAAAATGATTAATTTTTCAAAGCTGAAGAACATGGTTTCCACGCCCAACACATACATGTATGTATGTTTTCTCGATTAGCATTACAACGAATAGTTACAACTTGTTACAATTTCAAGAAAATCGAAAAGGTGTGCCCTAATCTTTGTCATTACCCGGAAGTTCATTTATGGAAATAGAAAATAAGATTAGTAAAAATTGCATGAACAGGCATTACGTTAGGTTTGGTTATTTTATAATACTTAACGGACATATTTAATGAAACTATTAAAAAGCTTATACAACAAAAATGTATTGGCCCTAATAATACAATCGGTAACGAGTACAGTAATATTAACGTATTTGTTATTCTCAGCGCCACTTCGGTAGGTTTTGACGGTCTTCCATTTGTATGCGCATATGTGTAAAATCAATTGGGGGGATTGTTGGAAAGTTGCATATTAATCAAAGCAAACACAACCTGGTTGTCAGACTAATGAAAGTGCAAATAATAACGCGATTAAATATGAATTCGTGCATGTTCCTTATCTTTCTGCACAGTTGTGTCATTGTTTTATACATTTCTAAACGAAAATGCATATGTATTCCATAATAGAGTCGAAAGAATTTTTTTTGTTCGTAATGCCAAGGTCGTAATTAAAGTCGTTTAACTGATAGGTCGGAACCTTCATGTTTCCTTCCACATTCGCTGCCAGTAGCAAAACTTACAATTCTTACAAAAATGTTAAGCGTATCGGTATAAAGCGACAACGCTGCGTTAATAGGATCATAGGGTATTTCATCGTTTGTTGAATGTTCCTCAGCATTTCTAATTATTATTTGAGAATCATACAAAATGTACGCCGAAAACAATCCTATTGATCCGTACAATGACAAAAGACATAGAAACATTCCCAGAGTTGATGTGGGGGGTAAGAATATTCTGCCCAACGATGCACAAAATATAACATCTGAAGCTGTCGCTAAAGGTCTGTTTAGCATAAGAAATTTATCCTTCGGGGCAATTACAGCAGTTGTTGCGAGTCCTACGATTATTCCCATCGTCCAAAATACTACTTTGTAAAACAACATATTCTCAAGGATGCATACGGGTGAGAGTGTCGCACCCATTATAGCTACGTGTAATAACCATAGGAGATGTTTAGGTCCGAAACCTTCCTGATACGTGACGGCGTGGGCCAATATTCCGGATCCTATTGTAGATATTAAATTTAGAGCGGTTGCGGATGAATCTTGCCTCCCAACGAAATCTCGAATTATTGGAGTATGAAAAGACATAACAGCGCTTATAGTGGTTAGTGCTATTGAAACCCCTAAATACGTGTACACACTTTTTAAACGTTGCCGAACATGATCGGGGAACATTGCAATTGTTTATTTTCATAGGATGGTCATTTGTGATTCTTTATTTGGGCCTTTTATTAGGTGTACAATTTATTAATTTTTTGTATCCTATAGTCCCTTAGATATGCGTCACTTGCTTTTTGGTGTGCCAAGTCTTCAAATTTCATTTTTTATTATTTGTGTAGATTTTATAAATAGTTTCAATTATAATGTGAAAAATGCATGATTGAAATCGGTTTTACCGTAAAAACTGAACGAACAGGAATTTCTTATTGTCAATCAGATTTACCCAGGTCACTCAAGTTTTTTTTTTGTTAAATCGGATTAGGATTAGATACATATATACGTATATATAATATTATTGACTTCATACGTTACATGAATGCATTGTAAGCAGTTAATTCAGGGGTTACAAAAGGTGAAAAGTAATAAGTAGCTCTTGAGCACAAACATTTGCAAATATCAATTAAAAGCAACGGAAATGATGAAATTAATTTCTTCGTTCGTCTTGCTTACGAATTTTGGAGTTATGAAATATTTTGGATGTTTATGTGTTCATTGCATGATGTTACGACATTTAAGAAGTAAATTAGTTGTTATCAAACGAAAAAAGCAATGTGTTTATGGCAAATTAAAATAAAAGATATCGATTTACTTGAAAGTAGGAGTGTCGACATAATGACCGCTAATGGAACAAGATATTATTGTCGTGAGTTGCAACGAACGAGTTGGATAGTACATTTTCAGTCAAAGTAGAATTACCTTTACTACTAGCACTACTTAGTATTTTATATTTAAACAATGAGTTGTCCTGGAAGATACTCGTAAGTAGCCAATTTTTATTTTTTGTACTTACGGTAATTCATTCTGAAATTAATGGGACTTTTCAATTTGAATTTAAATTTTGTTGTTTTTATTAATTAATAGTAGACTCAATATATTTTTATATCTAAATTAATGGTTACTACAAAGCACCTAACTATTGAATTGAATTTTTTGTCCCCAACGCGACAATTACAGGATTTAAGGATTCAAGGATATCTTTCATTGACAATAATGTTTGTACTGGAGCGACAAATCATTACGAGCCACTCTTAACGGACCCAAGTATCAGTATTTGTTACGATTTAAGTTGAATTTTCATCAACGCGATCTGCTACTGGTCACTCAGAATGTCAGCGGGATAAACTGTAAAACAAAGTTACATATGTAGTAACTAGATTATCTAATAAAACGAAATTGTAATTTAATCCCCGTCACGGAGGTTAAACGCGTAAAACTACCAATGCGTACGAAAGTTAATTAAATAAATCTTAGGATGCAAATACGCTACTTATGATTATGTAGATATAAAAAATGCATGTAATTTTTGCGAATATCGTACAACCAACAAGCAAATATGCACTTTCAAAACACTTTTCAACTGTTTCGGACATTAATAACAACCGTTCATATTTTTTAATTATTCGTCGCTTTCCTAGATATCATCCGAATGGCGATACAACCGGTGACGATGGGATGCTGTATGGGGAATATCTGATGCTAGACAAATTGTTAACGGCGCAGAGACCGTTAAGTGCTTATCATGGTCATGCTGTCCATGATGAACATCTTTTTATCATTACTCATCAAGGTTTGTTTTTGGTAATTTATTTTATGAGCTATCATCCCTATGCTATTTGAATTTTAAAAATATTCATCTGATTTCAAAGTAGTTATTATTATATTCATCAATGTTTCCCTTTAAATAAATTAAAAGTGTTTTCAATGTTGTGGGTATATTACTTAAACGTATTAATTAGTTATTAACTTTATTTTAGCGTATGAATTATGGTTTAAGCAAATAATATATGAACTTGATTCTATTAGAGCCCTCTTCAAGAGGGTGGTAGAGGAAACTCAAAGTCTAGAGATATTAAAACGATTAAATAGGATAGTTTTGATTTTAAAGGTAAGAAAATAAACAATAATCACAAATTAAATGTACCTATGTAAGTATGATAAGAATTGTTGTTTATTCTTGATTCAAACATTAGGTACAATAAATAATCTGTATATTGTTACAGATATTAGTGGATCAAGTCATGATTTTGGAGACCATGACTCCATTAGATTTCATGGAGTTTCGTGATTATCTCTGTCCTGCTTCCGGTTTTCAAAGTTTACAGTTTCGATTACTAGAAAATAAATTGGGCGTAAAACAAGAGCATAGGGTCAAGTACAATCAGAATTACGCAAAAGTTTTTGGAAACGACGAACAAGCGGTTAAAGCAATTGAAAAATCTGAATCAGAACCGTCATTAAAAGAATTAGTGGAAAGGTGGCTAGAAAGAACGCCTGGTTTAGAAAATGAAGGATTTAATTTTTGGGAAAAATACAAAAAAGCAGTTAATAGATTTTTAGAGGTGAAAGTTGGCCCTGAGGAATTCAACGATGACAATAAAGATTATAGGAATCAAGAGTATGAAAAAAAGAGAGAGCAGTTCGAATCGGTTTTAGACAATCGAGTTCACGATGCTTTAATGTCTCGGGGTGAAAGGCGATTTTCACACAAGGCATTACAAGGAGCTATTCTTATAACACTCTACAGAGACGAACCGAGATTTAGTCAACCTCATCAAATCCTTACATTATTAATGGATATCGATTCTCTTATAACAAAATGGAGATGTAAATAAACATTTTCCATTTTTTCCTATTTTTGTTTAATAACAAATCTCAGATAAATAGTTAATTAGTATATTTCTTAGATGATAAGTAAATTGGTCATAAATTATAAGCGACCGCTTTTTTTTAGATAATCATGTTATTATGGTTCAAAGAATGATCGGGTCATCTCAACTAGGTACTGGGGGTTCTTCAGGATATCAGTATCTAAGATCTACGCTTAGGTAAATAACTTAGAAATCATTGTTTTACCTACTTTGTACATTGTTTTTATCTAATCAATGACGTTTTAGCGACCGTTACAAAGTATTTGTTGATCTTTTTAATCTTTCAACGTTTCTGGTTCCAAGATCATTTATACCTAATCTAGGGTTGAAAATTAAGAATCATTTATATTCAAATACTGATTGGAAAACAGCATCTGAAGATTGTATACAAAATAACGAAGAGGAAAAGCTGGATGTAAAAAATTTTTAACTTACTAGTTCAAGGGCCCAGTGGCGTATTTCGCATGTAATCGTTACATTTTAGAAACGAATAAATTGTATAAATAAATAATTGCTAATTTTTCAATATAAAATTGTAGTCAACTGTACTTATTTTTAATCTAACGAAAAAGTATTATTTTTACAGACAAGTTTTTGATGTTCTTGATGAATAACTAAATATAATTTTGATTACCCCATATAATTTTTATATATAATAAGACAGACTTTGATAAAACAAAATTTTATTTTCAAAAAATTTTTAAATCATTTATTTCAAATAGTAGTAATACTTACAAGGGGAGTGCACGACCTTGGGGAAACGGATTTCAATGATTTTCCGTGTAGCGGTAGTATACTATGTGGGTAATACCACTGTAGAATATTTCCGTCCAATGCCCAATAGAAGCTGAGAAAAATGCCTCTAAAGTTCACCCCGCACTTTATATAGAAGTTATGTTTAATCTAGTCTGAACGTACTGTGGCGTAGCCGGTAAGGCTCTAGACTCGTACTCCCGCGTACACAGGTTCGAGTCTAGCTAGCTGACTTTTTTTTCTCTGTTTTTTTNTTTAAATATATTTATAAAATATTTATGTTTAATATAATGAAAAATAAGGAAAAAAAAACAGAGAAAAAAAAGTCAGCTAGCTAGACTCGAACCTGTGTACGCGGGAGTACGAGTCTAGAGCCTTACCGGCTACGCCACAGTACGTTCAGACTAGATTAAACATAACTTCTATATAAAGTGCGGGGTGAACTTTAGAGGCATTTTTCTCAGCTTCTATTGGGCATTGGACGGAAATATTCTACAGTGGTATTACCCACATAGTATACTACCGCTACACGGAAAATCATTGAAATCCGTTTCCCCAAGGTCGTGCACTCCCCTTGTTAGTGAATAACTGAAAATTAATAATTTGTCATGTATAATGTGTTGCCTGTTCGTGCGCCTGACTCCGTGGATCAGGGTATCAGTGCTCTGGCCTATGTTCTGATCTGACATTTGAAGGCATTGTGGTAAATAGTTAAGTGCGAGTAATAAACAATAATTTTCTTTCGAACTATAATTAGTTGATGTTAATACGTAATTAACATTTAATGTAAACGGAGCTTAAGGGTTGTAGATGCACACCCCCAAGAAGACAACAAACGTTGGTTTTCTATGGATTCGTTTATTTTAAGGTTAATTGCTAAATTGTTTTTGTAATAATTGCTTTTTGGGATTATTAGCTTATTTAAACATTAAATCAAATCTAGGACTGCTGCTGGTCATATTAATACTGTTACGCATGGAACCGATTCAAACATTGCGTGAAAAAGCATACAGTCAAACAGAAAGGCTTAACGACGAAAATGTTGTTTACTATGCAGTTCGCATCCCTCCTGAACAAAAAGTTGACCACGATGCATATGCCTATATTTTTGAAAATAAATCAGAAGCTATAAACTTGCTTAAAAAGCATAAAAAGGCCAGATTCAAGTCTTTTGCTTTGTATAATGATGCTGTAAAATTTGTTGTCTATGGAGTTGATTCGCCCAGTCTGGATACGACCGATAATGGAACACAAACAATCATTACTGAATGTTTACCTGTTGGTGAAAAGCCAATACTATTTAAAATGCCTAAGTCTCAAGATTTGGTCAAGTTTAGGAAGAACATTGAAAGTGGATATGTGCATTTGGTTGAGAAGGCAATATGGGAGAACCCACGTTATTTAATAGGAAATGGAGACACACCAACTATATTACAGGTGAGGAAACATTAATAAAAGTGTGCAATAACTAATGCTAGTATTAATAACGTCATTTATTCGTCACGTATATATAATTAATTGTATTAGATCTTTTTTTCTAATTTAGTAAATTAGTAAGAGGGCTTCAGTTTTTGGACAAATGAACGGAGGTTATAACTATAAATACTTTACCGTACCCCTACTACCGACAGACGACGTTTTTCCCTGATTTCAGGGACGAATGCGCATTTGCTCCTTATTAGGAAAGAAGTAACCGTGGTGTAACCGTTCGAAGATCCCCTCCACCGACTCAAAATAGCGAGCACTAACAACTTCACGTGGGCTTATTCCCAACTTTTATGAGTAGGTGGAGGGATCTTTAAGCGATAATCAACCTTGTGCAATGCACTTAACCAACTTAACGACACTACTATTATAATGAAAAAAAGTTGAGAATAGGTTCTTTGGAAGGTTATACACTTTCTCGTCTCTGAAATCAGAAAAAATCGTACTTTCAAGGCAAGGATATAGTAAAAAATCGTATGCGGACTTCGGGAAGAATGTACGGCAACCTCTCCCTGAAGTTTGCAGCTCTCTGCTTCGGTTCGTGTGGCAATTCACACCCGCGAGGGAATGTCGTACTTGCTTCCCTTAGTGCATAATATAGTATTATTAACAGTTCGTTATAGTAGTGGTAGGGCACCTTTTCTTGCCGGTACGTGTACGCCAAATTGTTATGGTATTGCTAAATGATAATAAATTCAAAATTAAGTTTTATTTTAGGAAGGATTCCGCTACAACGCGTTACATATTGCAGCAAGAACTAAAAGTTGGAAAATGGCCGATGTGGTTTTGAACACCATATCTGACATTTCTTTCATTCAGCTTTTATATGGAGACGATGGCTATCAGAATTCAGAAGAAAGAAGTAAAGTTTTATTGGACTTATATTTAAACACGCCAGATAAAGGTTTAAATGAAACACCGTTACATTTTGCGTCAAAATTTGGGGCAGTTGAAGTAGTAGAAGTTCTTGTGTCATTTTCCGTTTGCGATAAAACCGCAAAAAATAAGTACGGGAAGACCGCGGCTGAGGTATTAGAAAAAAAAAGTAAAAATTTGATTGAGTACCATCAAAAAAAAATACTTGTAGGTTATATGCTCCAGGTACAATGATTCAAATGTTACATCAACAAAAAAGAGAATAGCGACGTTATTAGAGGACAATTTTTACGTTCCGCTTATAAAATCAGAAAACAATTGTACCGTTCCTATCATAGGAGAGCCGTTTTCTCCAAAATCTCCACTTGTAAGTTTTCTTTCTGTTCTTAATGACGCTTTTAACGATTTTAATGTTTATATTGTATAACTGTTAGGTCTGGTAAAAATACATATCATGGGATCATCGGTATTAGTTTATAATAAAATTTAAGCAATTTTATGGAGAATATGTTGTAGTACTTAATGTAGGATACGTGTTTGCTTTACAGAACTACAATTCTAATCCGTTACAACCGCGGCTGGAAATACACGCTTACGCTGGACCATTAAATAAAGAGGAAGCAGACAGATTTCGAAAAATCTGGAAGACTCCACCTCGTTCATTGAAATCTACGAAAACGGACGACTTCCCTAAAACAAAATCGACGAAGGGTGATGGAGTCGCTTCTGCAAAAGATTTTGAAACGATCGGCCGCGAATTGGCTGCAAAGTATGACATAGGCTGGAAAGAATACTGGCCTTTTCTGGGAATGTTCTTGAATTTAGCGTCTCAAGAAGGATTACAACAACTAGAGCAACATTTAGAAACTCGAACGTATCATTCGTGCAATATGGTTTCGTGGCCCTTTTGTCCAGCTTTCGAGAAAACCACCACGACTAATGATCGTAAGCGTGTTTCAATTTTTGAGAGCAATAATACAAATTTAAATCGATGTTTTGATCGAGACAATGATCTTCCAGAGATAAGTTCTTTCTTGGTCATTGAAAAGTCGTGTAGGGTGTTTGCTAATCGATTATCGAACGAAATATTACTGTTAAAAGATACAAACTTTAATACTATCTGTCTAGAAATGTCAGTTAAACATTTGCAGACGCTAATAGGAAATTTAAGTAATGATAATCGTTTTGAAGGAATAAATCTTAAACGTGTGCACCATCGCATCGGTTATTTAGTTGCACATAATCTAGAACAGGTTTTGCAACAACATGAAAAGCACTTTGTGATTTTAAAACTACATCAATGGTTGGAAAATTCTAGCGAACTTTGTGATAATTTGCCGACATTGAATAGTCCAAAACAGTCCCAGAATTGTCATTCCATTGAACAACAGACCACGTGTCTTTTGCAATGTCTTTTGATGTATATGGATAACGAAGGTTCCATCATAAACGATTCAATCGATGAAAATTACGTTAAAGCCTTGTCGGATGGCGAATTGTGTTCATGCAAATGGGAATCGTCAAGAACGGAAAAATCTTATAAACACAACAATTCTGTTGTAAGGCGACTGAGTTTTCAACATTCAGTATGTAAGTATACCATACTTTATCAAGTATTTTTAATATACTGTAAAATTACCAATAAGATGTCATACTTTTAATGACATCAATTTTTGCAATTATGTCTTTTCGTTGTAATTTCTGTTTGCAAGAAAGAAAATAATTTTTAGCGGAAACTGACCACGCAGATTTAAGCAATACAAATGTAAATGAGATAGAATATGAATCTTCCGATGATGAATACTACACTCCTTGCAGCAGTCCAATAACTGTTGCTAATACGATGAACGATAATGACATATTTGAGGAGGCGGTATCATACGAAGAAGATGTATTTATTGAAGGGTATAACTAATAACAATTATTTAAGTAGTGCTCGTTGTATTATCTGTACATGTTGTATTTTCAGAATTTATCCTACTTCTACCGATGTAGCCGTGTTTAAAGCTCTAAAGCACATAGAAAACCTGCTAAATCCTGTCGATTATCCTTATGTTTACAAGTGGCACCATGCAATGAGAATTTATCTAGGACGCAATAAAAACATGTGTGTGTGTGTAATTAAAGCGATTGAATACTTGCAAATAACATTTTTTGCATTTTTTTAGTTGTACAAGTCCCATTAAGGAAGAAGGGAGTACAAGACATCACCAAAGCGCGTCAATAGGAACCCCTAAATCGTGGATAAGAATTACAGGCGTAAATTCACCACGAACTAAGTTATCGTTTTTAAATGATAGTTTAAGTAAATTAAAAGTTACTAATGTTAAGGATAAGTAGATTAAGATTTAAACATTTTTATTTGTAGATTGCCACACGAAGGATTACGAAAATTAATAAAAATATAAAATGTCAAATACACGCTTTTAATTAAGTAATTATAAGGTATCAACTTGGTATGATTTATTTTCTCAAAATTATTTTTAAAGCTTGGCCGGCTTTAATGAGCCTTGAATAATTTTTTTGTTAACCAAGTAAGTCTGTTTAATCGTTAACTAAATACACTAAAACATATAGATAGTGTGTATTACATTGAGGGAGGATGATGATGACTTACTCAATAAGAGGTAATACTAATAATCATTTTTACATTAACAAACGGGTTGATTATAGTTGATTAAATTATTATTTACACTTGTAGACTATTTTTACCAAGACATTTATTAAATTTAAATCCAACCAGTTCTAACTTGTCCAGACACTTTAGATCTCCCAGTTGGTTTAGGAGCTGGTTGTTTGGTGGTGCTTCCTATTTCAGTGTTACGAGAGGATTTTTGTTTTTCATCAGGTTTCTGTTTGTCGTCGGGGTTTCTTTTGCAGTCAGACTTTTGTTTATCGTCTTCTTTAGTATTCGTTTCAGTTTTAGTAGACGAAGCTGCTTTCTCAGCTCCTTTGTCGCATTTTTTGGCCTCGTCTTTGGGCTGTTGTTCAACTTTATCAGTTGTTTGTTTGTTTTTATCATCAACTTTGGACTGTTCGTTCTCTTTAGCGGTTTCTTTTTTGAGAATAGATTTTTTCTTGGTAGGCGGTACTGGAGGAGCAACTGTTTCTGAAACATTCGAATTGTCATACTCTGTGCGGTTTGTTTTATCGGCATTTTTTTCGTTTTCAGTAATTTGGCTTTTATTGTCCTGTTGATCGAATTTATCTGTTGGTGCTTTTGCTTCGTTCGCTTTAATTGCATGTAGTTCCGGACTAGGTGGAATTGGACTTGGTGTTTTTTCGTTGCGAATACTTAGATTGCTTGAATTTTTTAAACCCTGAAAGAAAAATTGGTCACGAAGTTACCTACTATTAATTTATATAAGGATGCTCCATTGCACCTTGTCTTTATCCTGCGACAATATAAGAGACGATAAACTTGCCGTTCGTGAACTTTTGCTCATGTTATCTTCAGATTTTGATTCATTAGATGTTGTTGGAGTAGCTAAATTTTTTAATCGTTTATAATACGAAATAAAAAAACGGTTCATTACTTAAACTTACATTTGAATTTGATTGATGGTTTCGAAACGGTTGTTGTATTTGATTCCTTCCCAGACTCATCGTCTTGCTTGGTATAATCTTCTTTTATTTTTTTTGTGAGGAATTTGGCATATGCTACTCTTGCACCTTTTGGTACTTCGGAAAGTTTCGGATTGTATTCTGGAATAAGAAGTATTTTTTTGCACGTTATAGTAGAAGTCATTGCAGAATTGTTGTCACCTAATAGTTTTCCTTGATCGATTTCAAGTGGTTTGTCCACCTTTGATAGAATATGACGACGAATACTCTGTCGATATTCCATTTGAGCATGGGCTTCCTTTGTCGAACCGATCGGATCTTGGGTTATCGTATTTGTTCTTACGAGAGCGTTCCAATCGGTTTTTTTGCTTCCTTGTTTACTGGATCGTTTACCTATTGCTTTGGCAATATGTCCAAAGACATCTTTCGGTTGTTTCATGTTGCTTACAGCTTCGTTGACAATATTTTGAACTATTCCGATATGGAAATCTTTCAGTAAGCGTCGTTCCATAACCTTTCCTTTTTTACCAGATACTTAAAAGAGAAATTGTTGCTGCGCTTGTTATTGGGTCACGAAGATTACTCACTTTGATGATCTTGCTCAGAAAGGGTTGGCGTTTTCATGCCGTTCGTTCTTAATATATCAATCAAATCGTATCGAAACGATGATATGTCTTGCCTAATTTCCATAACGTCGTCTTCTGTTATTCCAAAATCGTCGCGTTTTCTTTGCTCTGCCGTAACGTAACGCCTTACTAACATTCGCATAACTTGCTCGTGCCGCTCTGTTGCTTTGGCCCTTGATTTTTTCTAAAAGTAGGTAATTGAAAGTTTGCGACTCTAAACGAAGTGAAGAGAAAATAACATCCGAATGCATTAATCCTTGAGGGAACATTTTTGGTGTTAATGCAATAAAAATTGATGGTAAAAAATGTACTTATTGACGAATAAAATGCAATAGGGGACGCACTTTGAAAGATACAGTTTTCTTGGGTTCGGTTCCAATATGCAACTGCTTCGAAAGCATCTTCATTGTTGGAAAAATATTAAACGGCGGTGGTAAAGAATCTCCGTCATCAAAATAACTCATCCACAACCTACTTCTCGCAAATTTCCACTCAGTATCTGAACGTTCCTAATTATTGTAAAGCATGACTCAGTTATTCAAAGTCGATTCTGTGAAGGTGCGTGCATATCACTCTTACCGAAATAATTTGGTAAGAATTGGACATCATAGCTATAAGCATATTGAGAAGTACGATAACATTTATGACGGAATACGATCCGAACATTAAAAGCGCCCAGAATCTTGTAAAACCTTTAATGCCGGTTAGTTCAAATGAGACGAGATCGACCAAGCCAAAACTGGCCCAAAAAAGAGACTGGGCTGTTTCGAACATGCTGAAATATAAATAAGTAAACGATTTAACAGCATTTCTTTAAAAATGTACTTAGCGTATCTTCGCCAAATACTGCAAGCCTTGTCGTTTCCGTCGAAATCTGGAAGACCGCTTGGAAGATGGTAGCATTTATTCTTTTCAAGTTCTGCGTAGTACCATAGCAGTTGATTTAAACCTTAAAAAGGCCGAATTTTTTAAAGAAAGTTATTTTTCCTTTGAAAATCATTTACCGCATCCAAAGGCAAAAAGAACAAGCGTGTAGATAAAGAAGAATTTAATGATGTCTATAATCATCCTTCCTAAAGATACTTGTAGAGGGCCCAAGTGGGGATTCACACTGAAGATGTGAACCAGTTTAAGAAAACTACAAAATGAAATGAGACAATGTCATTAGTTTTGTACCTTTGAACGAAATAAGAGTTATTTATTTTTAAATTACCTAAAAATCATACCGGCAGCAAATGCTCCTTCCGATAATAACATCGGATCGAAGGAATGCCATTGTTCCCTGGGGTACCATGGATCTCTGCCCTGATTATTTTCCCTCTACAAAAAAATGAACTGAAATGCTCTGCATACGTTCTACGAACAATCATACAATAATTAGTAACGCACCCATACAACATACATAGCTGACGCTCTCAATGCTATCCACATAACATAAAACATGTTCGTGATAAAGTCAACGATATTCCATAAATCGGACACATATTCCAATAAGCCATCGGACCAGAGCGACCGAATTTCACCCCAAACTAAACCTTAACATAATCTTTCTCATTATGTACATCAATTCTCCTTTTATTAATTGATTCACTTACTAATTACAAACAATACTACACCACATTCGGCCAATCCCGGCCCTGCACCTCTTTCTCTATGTTTCCATTCTTTAATAACATCTTGTATCCATTGATTACCAAACCATTCCAGAAGAAGTATTTCAATCCTTTGTGACGCCATTCCAAGAAGTGCTACACAACGATTACACTTTAACATTCGTATAGAGTTAGAAAGAAATAGGTGTAAATAAAATTGTTTACAAGCAATAGTGCGGTCCTTCGACTTATAGTATGCATGTTATTTGTCTTACATAAAAAGGCAAGGTATGATGCTGAATGGCATATAAACTTAACAAAAGGCTTCTTCATGAATCGGCCCATCGGAGATTCAGGCGCAATCATGTATATGGTACAATAAACTGGAAACATTCCCGCAAGTTTGGCCACTTGCATTCCTTGCCCGATCAGTGCTTTCCTTCGAAACCCTGGCAAGCCTTCGTACCAAATCGCTCCCAACAATTGTTGCACGTTGGGATGCGCAACAAACTAAAATTGAGTTACGCAGATAAATGTTTTTGAAGATTTTGAAATTAATGCGGAAACGGACATTTTTCTGATTGTACTTAATCGCCAATTTAAGTCTTTCTAACGTTTGACGCTCTCCAGGATCCCAATTATCACCCTGGGGATCGTAATTTAACATTATCTCTAATTCGTACGAAGTTCTCACGTGGTCTAATAAAGAAGTGGCAAACACTTGAACTTGGTCTCTCATATCCTGAAATGTACTCGTACAATAAGTATGTATACAAATGTCCGAAGTTTATTATATTAATCCTACAATATATTCTAATTTAAATTCCGATTCCATTGTGCTGAGCCTTCTCAATTCCCATGACAATTCGAAGGCTGTTAAGAGCGGATCTCGTGAAGATAGCGATATCAGAGATGGCGAACTGAGTGCTTTATAGGCATTAATTCGAGATAGAGAATGTCTAAGTGAATCAGCGGAACTTGATTGGACGCAATCATCGCAACCACATCTGAATTTAACGGAATAAAATGAATAAATTGCATGATTTGTGTCGCTAATAGTTCACCTGACATCATGAGGCATTGGCAATGTGGCGCCTCTATCCAAAAGTAATTTTATTATTTCGTAGTTATTTTTGTGTGCTGCCAAAATAAGAGGAGTTATGTCAGGCGTGAAAGTGGATGTAGCTTTGTCTACAGACTCCCAGCTCTGGAATTATCGCAAATCAAAAATGCTTTTACCCAACCGAATTCTGATGCATACGATACGTACGTAAGGTGTTCCAGCTTTGTGGTTTTTTTCTTCCCATTCTAAAAGGAGTTCTACAGCTTCTATATACTCTTCGCGTATCGCGTGAAGTAACGCGTCCTAAAAAGGAAGCTGTTGTGTATTCGGGGATTTAATATGCATTTTGATGATGTTAAACGGCAACGTAAAAATTAAATTATACCTTTACTAGAATACCCTCGTCCAACAGAAGCTTAATTAATTCAATATTTTCATTTTCTATAGCAGCAACTAGTGCTGATCTATTTAACGGATCAACGCAATTTATATCTAGATCGTGAGGACTATTTGCGTACTGTTTGATGAGTCTAAAATATAAAATAAAAATCAGAATTATAAATATGCAAATGTATATGAAATTAATGTTCCAAAATCATAAGTAAAAAGTATCTACCTACGTATAAAATGACAAGTTTTAATTAAATCAAGCCAGCACGGCAAATAAGTTGTATTTCATACTAGGTTTCACCCGCGGCTTCGCTCGCGTTGATGTCCTAAATACGTGCCAAAGATCATCGACGACCACATAAAACTAATTTTTCTATCTTTCTGCATAAAAGAGAGGTAGCTATCCTATGACGTTTTCTGTACGCCTGATAATGTATGAACAAAATTTCGTAACAATCGTTTGGGTAATTAAGGTGTGAAATGGTAGCAAACAAACAAACATACGAATTCATATTCACATTTATAATATAAGTTGGGATTTGAGAAATGCATTACAATTTATTGCTAATTTACTAATTCGTTACCAAATGATCCAGCCGGCCACTCACAAACAGACGACGTGCCAATTTGATATCAAGCTAGCTCACTACACAAAGTGTATTTCGAAATAGAATTACTTATTGTAAGGGCCGCGTTATTTGGCGCTAATTTGTCACTGAAAGATGGTACTCATTTTGTCGTGAGTCTAAACTCGAGCTTATAAACGAAAAACGATTAGAGAGCTGTTATTACAGGTAGTATGCAAAGCGTATCTCGAAATAGAATATCGTAGAAAAATGCTGTAAGGACCGCTAAAAGCTGACATTTTCGCCGATTTTCTTGTGAGTTCTGTCTCCAACTAATTTATTATCGTATGCAGCGGTGCAGCGTTCTCGCTATGCACGGTACAAAATTTTAAATCAATTCTATTTATTCGCAGATCAACTGGAGGCTGGATTCGCGACAAATTACAGTATTTTTCTACGAGATATGCTATTGTGGTGCCAACATGACGGCTCGCCAATCGTTTTTTTCTTCTGATCAATTCGAGATTAGACTGAAAATAAGATGGGTAAATGTACCCATCTTTCAGCGATAAATTACGGCCCTTACACTACTTTTCTACGATATTTCTATTTTAAGATAAGCAATGTGTGGTGCGAGTTTGATATCAAGTCAGCACGTCATCAAAAATTTGGATTTAGTAATAAATTAGCGAATCATTAGTTAGAAATTGCAGTACACCTCAGAAATAAGAAATATAACTTTGTCGTGCTAGCTGATAAATATAAAAGTGATCCAGTAAAAGAAACGTAAGTAAGTAAAATCTATTTCATATTTAAACGATTAAATAAAATATCAAGTAAGTAGATTAAAAAAGTTCTGGTTTACCTTTTAACGGTCGCGCAATCTCCCCTTTCCGCGTGCAATAAAAAGGATTTTTCTATAGGTCCCAAAGGTTTTTCGGCAGGATCAGCGATATTAATAAAACCGCCGCCGACATCACTGGCCTCTGAGCCTGCTCGCGATGTATTTTCCATATTTGCGAACTCAAAAACGCCTTTTTTATAATTAATTAATTAACACTTTCGATTACGTTCTAACGTGAACTTTAAAAAGTTAATAAATAACGAATAGCGTCGAAAATATGATTTAAAGAAAGCCAACAGAAATCCAATAAGTGTTGCCTAATTACATTAGCTACTTTATGCAACCATACAGGTATTATCCTAATCAGCTTAAAACAGCAACGGATGTTTTAGATGACATGCGGATTATTTAGTGGGTATAAGTTTCGAAGATATTTACAATCGCATTTTTACCAAATAATTTGCTAAAAAGTAAAATTGAAAAAAAATGAACCAACAAAAAGCAACTGAACAATATATTGCTGCGTCTAATACAAGATAATCATTTCTACAATATTTACACATTACATTATATATAAATGCATAAAATATATATTCAACGTAGTGGTTTATTCTTCAGGTACAATGTCCATAATCCATTTTAACAATTCTTCCAATTCGACTTTGGACAGCTCGTGTGTGGTACCATTTAATGGAACAAACTGCCCATTAACACCCAACTTTTTTAAATTTCTGAACGTTTCTTCACCCCATTTTACCGAAACGAGTTCATCTTCTAGTCCGTGGAACATTAAAAGGGGCGGTAATCGTTTGGGAGGGTTTGATTTTAATGTATTGTACACCACCGATCCGTTATTTAGAAACGAAGATAGTGCAAATACACCTGCAACGTCTGGAAGATATCTGTATGCTAAATGTAAGGCTAACGCGCCGCCCATAGAGAAACCACCTGAAAAGACAAGTTTTTATTCAATAAATAAATACAACAAATTTCAGTACGAAATTCAAAACTTCTTATACAATTATACGTGAGCGTCTTTCAATAACAAAATAAATTAAATTTTCAAATTTCGAATTTAACAAGCAGAGTATATTAGTTAGTATCTGGTAAACAAACGATATTTTAAAATTTATAATACGTGTTTGTGTATGCGCATACAGGTCCTTATAAAATGTTGATTATTTTATTTACCTACAACAATGCGATTTAACGATGTGCCATGGGAAACCTCTTTCATAATTAAACTTTTAATTTCTTCAGCAGTTGAGTCGAGTGTTTCTAGATGTTCTGGAACATCAGGTCTTATATCGAAACGATCAAACCAGACATTACTAATCTAAAATTAAAATAATAGTAGCCAAAAGTAACCAATACTTTATAAAGTGGTAACTATAACCAGGATTGGTTCCTGTCTATGAAAATTTTAATAGTTTCTAGGTAATACGCGATGATTCGGAAGTTGCCTATCAATTTTTTTTGTTGTCAACATTTTATGTATTTTATAATATAGACCTCATTGCTGTCCTACCCTACAATTAGATTTACTAGTGTGAGCTCTACCTCTCTTTAATATTTGTATTATGTTTTCATTCGTAATTTCAAAAGTCTTATAAATAGGGACCTTAACTGTATAATACCAAATTTTCAATGTAGATTAGATTAATTCAAACTCTAATAAATAATTAAACGGCGTTTCACTGAAGATTACACTTTGAATGTCGAAATTACATTTTAAAAGTTTTTATGTAGAATTTTCAGTTTTTAGTGTTTTATTTAGTTCAGTTCCACAGGTTTGCATGTGAAGAGAAAGTTGTTCTCAGTTAAGAATGTTTACCACATCAAAAAGATAAGAAGTTCGCTTATATATACAAACAATAATAATTTATTAAAAATATTTGAAACCACCTGTATATTTATTGCAACAGCAAAATATTCGACGGAAGATATTCGGCGAAGTGTTTTCGATAAAATACACAATTGGGTGTATTCATGGGGTAGCTAAAGGGTCGTTTGCAATTTAATTAAAGTATGTACGTAAAACTGTTGAACCAGTGTTTGTATTAACTTATTTTAAAACGAAGACATTATTTAAATGTATAATTTTACCTGTCCATTGAGTGGTGTATATTTTTTTGGAGGCGCCGTTGGAAATATGAAATTTATATGCGGCAGTGAAAAATTTTGAACCAACGATTGAATCCACTCCATAATTCCTTTACCAGAATCACCTAAAGTTTTTGAATATTAAAAATCTAATAGCTGACATAGGTACATATTTAAAATTACTAATCCAAAACATTTTGAAAGAGGGATTAAGAAAGGGATATGTAAAAGTTGATAAGTATGTGTAGTTATTTACCAGATCCATGAAGGAAAATCACGGTTCCTGTTTTTGTTTTCGTTTGAGGTATCGTTCTGATGGAGGGCATTTTAGAACTCATTTTTATCGGTTAGCAGCTTACCAGTAGACACTATCCACCACTAATAAAATCTAACAACAAATTAACTCCAATATAATATTATTCTACATTTCTATGATTTATTTATTTGCATTACGTCAGTTATCTAACGATAAATAATACCTACAATGCTACTTTATCTGCATAAAAAACTCTGAACCTCAGTAAAATTAAATAAATACATGTGTAGATACACAATCTGTTTGGTAAGATTTGCATTTGCTTTTGAAATTTTTGCGGTTGTTTGTAAATTTACATTTATTTAAATATTTGTATTTGTATTGTGTACTTCAAATAAATTTTTTTATTTGCATTTTCTTTATAAATTTTCTTAGTATGCCGGATTTACTAAATAAATTTATGTAGCTAGCAAATTACTTATATTACTTGGTATTAAAATTAACTATCCTAAAAAAATCGTGGGATCGACAGTTTTATTTAATTTTATCAAGCTGTAGGTAGGTAACTTAATTTGTAGTACCTATACGTATATTCGAAAGTAATAGTTTTTCGAAAATTTCTTTTAATTCTACCAATATTGCGTACAATACCAAAATATTTGGATCACAGGTATTGAGGTCTGGAGCATCGAGGACGCCATTTCTTTTTTTAGTGTAATTTGGCATTTTGCTTATCTTCGTCAAAAATGTTACCCATAATGCAACATATGTGGTATTTCTACGATTTACTTTAACACTAATTCTGAACCTCACAATCGGAAATAAACTGTTAAATAAATATATACACAATTTATTTGTTTGGTAAGATTTGTATTTAAAAACCCATAGTAAAAGTCAAAATGATATGATATTTTAACAGGCTGTTCTCATCAATCTTCCAAAGATTATTATTGGTATATTATTATCTATATAAAACATATCTACAATGATTTTTGCAGTGTGCGACTTAGGTACCTATTTGTTTTTAATAAGTATCTATCTTATTTTTCTACTATAAAGTGTTATTAAAGTTCATTAGCGGATGATAACAGTGATTATAATATTGATAATATCTTAGATATTTATCATAACTTTTTGCATTAGTAATTACTTGATTTGGGTTAGGAACTTTGCATTATAGTGAATTTCATACTATCAGGAAATGCTGCTTCAATTTCTATTTAGTAAGTCAATTAATTACACCTTACCTAGTCTAAAATTTAATAAATAAAACGGATGCATTATATTAATTACGAAATCAATTACAAAACACTGGGATTGTTTCCCTAAGAATATTTATTTCTTAACATGTATCGTTTCAATTCTCGCGGGTCATTCTCTAGAGAAATTATATTACAATGAAACAATAATGTTGAGACAATAAAAAACATTTTTAGTCCCAATGTTTTGTTACTTAATTTCATTATATTATTTTTCAAAAATATTTCACAATGAATGCGATACACATTCTATCGACTTTAAGTAAATATTTTACCTTGAAAGTTACGTTGCTAAAAATCCTTTCCACTTTGCTTCCATTTTTTATTTTGATTATAGACGCAAACCCAATCCTATCGACGAAATTTTTCTATTAAACAAATACTAAAACTGCATCTATATTTATATACATACACGTCATTGTTGGTTGTATAACCGAGGAGCAAAGTTGACCGTACAGTAGTTTTTTTTCACTTTAATTTTACAATTAGTTTTAAAAAGATTGACAATAAGTCATTTTTTACAATAACAAAATTGTCCATTTACAAATAAGGAATAAAAAATTTCCTATCTTTAATATAAATTAAAATATCAACAAATACGTACCATATGGGTACGTGTAGAACATGTCTTAAGAAACCCATAAATTAACAAATATTTTGTAATGATTTGCTCTTTATAAGTCTACGTTGGTTGTCGAAAAAGCGAGTAATTACTTGTTAATGTTTCGCAGGAATACTCTCATGCATTTTGAAATGGTATTTCGAATTGAAGTAAAATGAACACATTGTCACCCTCAACTTCATACAAATTAAACTTAATGCTGATTTTATTGGAGATTTTACATTTTCGTTACAGCTTAACCTAGAATACTCACTTTTGACATTTAATAATTATTTTTAAAAGCCTTTTTTGATTCATAAAGCCGTAGCTTCAGTTTTTAGTATGGCGAGTTCCCATTCGTTTTTGGTTAGGTCCTCGGAAGTAACGGACTTCAACATTTCCGCAGCAATTACTTGGGCGCATGCTGTCAACAATAGATCCTATCTCGAGAGTTGTCTAGCTTGTAAGTATTGTTTCTTTAATGTTCCGAAGTTTGTTTTATAAAACGTTTTACTGATAATCGTGCAATAAAAAAAGAAGAGAGACGTACGTCTTCTAGCCAACGACGTCTTTGATAAAAAACAAATATACCTAATAGGTACTAGCATCGAAAAATATAATTAACGAACAAGTAAGGCAAGTGCAATCAATAGCATCACGTAATTTTAGCCGAGGACTTAAAAATGATAGAGGCAGACATTGTATTGGGTACGCTGACGACTTCGCAAAATTCGACGGTAATTCCTATAATGGGACATCCTCCTGCTAACACTTCTGATTTATCGTTAGAACATTTCTTATCAATGGTTAAAGAGCATAATAGTAATTCGTTTTATGCGAAGGGGGTTAAACTTGACTTCAAAACCATCGAAGTGTTTGAGGCGAGTTTGAGCATATTGCAAAGTAAATGGAGCGAGGTAAGTTGTAATGTTTTTTACCCAAAGAATCAGTCAGCAAGTTGTATAGGTACATTTGTCGGAAATTCACAAATTTTTGTGCAACGATCTCGAAAGCTAGTAAAATTCATTTTTCTTTTTGGAAGCATTAAGCCATAATTTGAAGGTTGACTTGTTATAAAATATTCAACCTTTATGCAGTAGATGTTGTTTATAACGACGATATCGCAGTTATCGCAATGAAGTAATTTCTAAGTCTCACATGAAATCATTTAACTTACATTAAAGATGACAAAAATGTGGCGAAATTTGGGTAAAATTATCTTTTATAACGACGGACTCTTGACGCATAGTAAGAACCTGCTGGGGATGAATGTACAAATGTACCACGCTTCCCTAAGGGAATTACCGAGTTACGAAAGGGAGTCGTGGCAGCAGGGACTACGGCCGAGTCCGAGTAGGCGAAAACATTTGCATTGAAAGTTCCGGTCCAGGATGCTTTGTTGCGTTTTCGATCGCAAATACATGTTACGCTGATCGGATAGAGCGACCTACGGTAATATCTAGCGACCGAATTTTACCGGTCCCTTGAATTTCAATGTCATTATAAACAATATCTGCTGTTATCTTGGTTTTTCAAGAAATACGACTGTGTAATCTGGGGGTTAAGACATAAAAAAAAACCGTTACAGATTGATTTTCCTGTATGGATAAATGCTGATATAGTGCCAGGACCCGTGAACGCGACAACAATTCCTGTGGATCCGACTCGTTTTTTCGAAGGTTGCGCCCTATTTGATGATGCGGTTCTTTCGATAGGTTGGACGACAAACTTTGGTGGAAGTATCAAAAAGGGCACATATACGAAAGGCCACATTCAGTCTATGTTAAACGTGATCGAGGAAAACAAACCTACCCAGAAAATTACTTTTCCTGTAAGGGCTGGAATCGCGGCCGAGAGTTTAGGAAATATGCAACTTTTATTGCAAAGTGTTGCTAATTCTTCTTTAACAATTTGGTCGTCCGAAGGTGACCCAGTAAATGTTGAACATCTTAAAACCCTTATAATGACGATAGGACTTGGTTCAGTATACATTGACGTACCAAAGGATTTATTCGATCAGTTAGGTCTGTATTTTGGTTCTAGTAAAACATCACCAAGATTACCTCCCTTGCCCTACATTTTAGGATTAATGATAATCTGTTTTATTAATCTTGCAGTAATTTAAAGCTTTTGTTAAATTTTATATTTATGCTTTGAATTAAAATTTTTATTTTTTTAAATTCGTGTTTCTTTATTAGGTATGTAGTTTTGTAATATCTATTGGTCAGTTAATTGGTACAAAAAATCTAACACAAGAAAAGAATTAAAGTCGATCTGACGTGAGTGGCGAATTTTTAATGAAGATTTGATAACATACATATAACAATCACCCTGTACGTATGAATCTATGAATCAGGTGTTTCAAATTGTATATACGTATTTTGTAATGAAGGATAATAAATAAAACAGTCCGTAGAAATAAACAATCCATGAATTTTATTCAATTTCCCGTTTTCTTTATCCGTATCTACAACTTATAATTCATGAAAATCCATTAGTTATTAATTGTTAAATTTCTGAAAAAGGCACAGTGTGAGAAAATAACTGCAAATACAATAATAAACTAGTGAAGTTGGCATACTGTTTTTTATTTGTTTAAAAAAATTCCTATCCAGAATCGGTTTTTTATTCCCCCCCCGCCCAGGTTTTAGTACTGTCTTTCAATTTGTTTATTTACAGAAGGTTATAATGTAAATTTAGTTTCGATTTATTTATTAGTAGCGTAAAATTAGACAAAAATTTAACAAAGGTGGATAAGATCAGTATGCGTTTGGATGCTTGCACCCAACCGGCCCTGCAAGATGAAGCAGAGAAACTTACTCACTTCCTAATAACAAATGGAGGCTGACTAAAGTTAGTCTGTTTCGCGCAGCGGAGAGATGAACGTCGTACGTTTATTCGCAGCCATCCTGGTGTGATAGCTCACGTAAAACTCAAAATTGCTGAATGTATTAATTAAACATGGCAGAATTAGTACTCGCGCTGATGAAGTACGTTATCTAGTTGTGCCGTAAGAGTTGCGCTTTGCGTACCTATATATATAACACTAGCAGAAAACAGTTTGTGAAAAAGTTTTAAACGTGATTAAGTGTTTTTTTATTTAATTATTTATAAGTACCCGTAAAAAATTTTCATTTTGAACTTTTGTCATTTTTCATGCCGCACTTTGACAATCTGAAGCATTTGCAAATGAAGGTAACGACATAATATAATAATTGATAATACTTACAATAAACTTTTCTGATTGGCATTAAATTATTTCACAAGTAGATTTTTTTATGCTGACTTAGGTACACATTTTGATATTCATATTTTGGATGTCGACATGACTTATGTACTTATGCATTTATTCAATGAGCTTACAAGAATTTTGGTATCAGACGAAGGTAACTAATAAAATTTTCCTGCAATAAACCACTTCAAACTTGTGGGTTTTATTTGTTTATTTTCTTTTCCGTCTTCCTGTCTACTGTTACTATTTTCTACTTATTTAACGAATCACTGATATCTAGTATCTAGTCTTACGATTAGCTAGTTACCTACCGATAACAACGGATAGGTGCCATTTTCACTCCGAGTGCCATTTCGTAACTTCAATTTTCATATCTTATTTCGTTGATATTAATTATTATTAATATTTTTAAGTAGATTCATATAAAACATTTGTAGCATACCAAAAGAATTATTTTAAAAATAGCGGGGCCAACATAAGTATATATTCTTAAAGAAATTATATTAGTGCTTCATATTTTTTTTTGCTGATAAGAAAATTTTGTGAAGTAGCACGTGGAGCACAACACTAGCATAATTCAGAACAATCCTTTTTTTTAAAGGTGGCGGGAATAAGTTGCTGGATGTGGCAATTAGGCGTTTAATAAAGTAGATGATAACACATTTCTCAAAAATCGTTAACAATGTTTCATGTTTCATTAGTAATAAAATGTTATCAAGTTTCCATCACAATACAATCTACGATACGTATGCGATTCTTAGAATCAATTAGTAAGTGGTAAAAGTTGTGGAGAGGTATCGGTAACTGTAAATGATTGCTCCAGGTACTCATTTTTATACTTATTATAATTACCATGAATGGCTTTAAATTAAAATGCCTATACTATGCATTTTAGATAGGTATTAGAACGTTCTTTGAGCAGGCCTACATTGTAATTCTTGTACCTAACTTTTCATTAATTTTTACTTTTGATGTTTATTCGATAAAAAAAAAACGAAATTTAAAGTAGCTAGTTATGAATTGTGTCGTTTGAAACGACAACTAATTCAATAATAATTATTAATAAGAAATAACTGCAATTAAATAATTCGGTCAACGATTTCGAAGAAAAGCTTGAATGTAGTCAGCCATCCGATTTGTTTTATGATAATCGATTCACGACAGTAAACTATTTTGTGACTCAATTAAGCTTTTGATTTAAAACTAAAACTTCTTAGGCTACCTTATAAAAGATAATAAAAGATTTCTAAAATAAAGATTACAAATCAGACATTTGCTAACTAAATTGTGACACGTGTAATGAAGTCTTCATAGGCCAAACTAGCGGGTGTTTTAAAGATAGGATTGAAGAACACAAACAGTTAGAAAAACAAGAATTATGATTCAGCATTCATTGCAAGATTCACATTGTTTCAATGACGACTACAATTTAGCACATATCGAAAAGAAAAGTTTAAAATTGAGTTTATTAAAATGTTCAGATATTAATAAATGAAACGAATTAGATCTAATGATGTGAACAAATCCCCACTGTTAAATGTCGTAGAAAAGGCTTTATGAAAAATTACTGCCACGCGACCTTTCTTGAGACATTCAGTTTCCAACCGCCAGGGAGGATAAACTAAAAATTTTGAAGGTTTCAAGGAAGTCATAGGTGTCTTTGGTCAATTGTTTTAAGTCCTTTTTCAGAAAACCTCCGAGTTTTATAAAATGCCTAATTTTGTCAAATATCTATAGCGAAATTCGCTTCCCAAAGTCAATGCTTCTTTTAAAAATCCATCAACTTACAAAAGATGCTAAGTCTTTGACGGTCACAACCAGGTTACGCTCCACTTGTGTTGACTTAAGAATGTAAAGTATACTAAAATACGTGATTTTGTTACAAATTCCTCTACGTCTGCGAGCTGTAATACAAAGGCATTTTGTTGCACTATGTAGTTTGTTTGTAATTGATTACCGTTCATATGTGCAGGATACATAAAATAAAGTGTATGTTGTGGCGGTAAAAACTATTTAATGCAAAATCAGCAGAATGGCACAATTCATAACTGCCCTCATCGTACAACTTATTTGTTCATACTTATTTAAGTATGTACGTGTATAAAGTTCAATGCTAAAGTTCAGCTAGTGAAAAATAAGAGTACGTATTTTTTATTCAACCGATACGGCGCGGCGCGCTGCAACGCGATTCGACCGATCTATCGATTGATTAACTAATTATTTATTAATGTTTTAAGATTACATAACGAATTCGTCACCATTTATTAATTTAATTTCATTCGAATGCGTGGGATATTTGGCTATGAAACTCACCGTCTGGTGATAATAAAATAGAAGTTATAATGAATACGTACGAGTTAAATAGCCGTGAAAGTGGATTTCCCAGTTTTTTATTTAAATAAAAATACATAGTTATGTGATTTAATGTCAGTAACAAAACAAGAGATTAAGAGTTTCAAACTATTTTATTGCCAATGCGCATTGACCGTTTTGCCATACACACCGTGACTTCAACAGATGGTTGAAGTACACTACAATAATGAATAAATTCACCTGATGAAGCCACGGTGTGGCGAAACGGTCGGAGTGCATTAGTAATAAAAATAATTTTGAAACTCGCAAGTTAGTATCGAGTTTCACCATGCCAGTAAACAAACGCTTGCTACCTGGAGTCGATAAAACATTTTGCAACAGTGTTTAATACGATAATAACAAACAATCGTTTGATATTTATTTTTTTATATTATGATGACACTCGAATAACCTTTTTAGTGTAAACATTATGCAGACTGCTAGACTAAATAAGTTATTTATATACAGAGTGTTCCGTAAGGTTAATTGATTTGATGTTCGTTGCCTTTCATTCCTAATCACTCACAGTTGCAGTAAGATGTTAATCGTTAAATATAATTTGCACGTTGCGTCAAGTTCTTTATCGTTTATTTTGTTGTTGTTTCTTCGCGTTTTCACACATGTAAAGGTCGTTAAAAGTTTTTAAATTCACTACGGAGCCAAGTAGATTATAAATAAGCACTTGCCTCTCACTGATAAAATTAATCGATGAATACGCTGAATGAATTTCTAATTCTAGAACCAAATTAATATCTAATAATACAGACATTGTTTTCTTGTTTCAGGTTGTACCTTGGTGATGGTGATGTTTCTTTTCGAAAAGTAACAGTAAGATTAACGAAGGCTCGTAAGTATGCGCTATGCGGTTCGAACGAAAACAGTGAAAAGTGCTAGCGACGATGAAGATTTTATTTTTTAAATTGCTGTGTCTTGTTTACGCCATAAACAATAATAGTGTAATCGGCTATAATAAAAACGGTTATGTTTCGAAAAACGAATACATGAGACCACATCAAAAACACCATTTCGGTAGTTCTAGTGACAATAAAATAATAGAATCGCCGTTGTATAAAAATAACTTTTTTCACAATCGCATTTCTACAACTGAACAGCCCATTAAAATAAGGCATTCGCATCATCCCCACTTAGATGGACTAATTTCGAAAATGACAAGATTTCCTAGCACTGCGACCGTGCAACATGACAAGACTGATAAAAAAGATTCAACAGAAATCGAAGACGGATTTGGAGATGATGAAAATGATAACGACGATTTGGAAAGTTTAGCTCCTGATTATGACGAATGGGTAAGCACGCATTAAATAGGTACCTTTACGTATAATCCTTTAATCACCTTTACTTATTATTTGTTTAATAAAACACATTTCTTACATCTTCTGTAGTATATTTGATTCTCCGACGAAATTTACTAAAGTTAAAATTGGCCAAATGATTAAAAGTCTGGACAAATGCCAACCGACTGATAAAATCTAATTGTAAGCAGGCACCTATTTGTCGATTTCTCTTCCGAGAAGACGAACGTCCAAAGTACATTTTTCATTTATTCATCTATTAAAAATTTAGAATTTTTTTATAAACCACTCAAATTTCGTCGATCTTAAAACTCGCTCGTTAAATAATAAATTATATCACTTTTACTCAAAAACAATTTAATATAATAGGTACTTATGCATGTCGACCTTATTTTATTGTATTGACGTGTTACTAATTTTTAAGGCATCTTTGCTTATGCAAGAAGATTTTAAAATGAACATTCAAAGCTGCTTCTGTTATATTGTAATTGTTTACAAACAACCTTCAATTTTATTACTTGTGAAAGTGAATGCACATATAAATTTAGAGTTCATATTTATATAAGATATGCACCTGTTTCCTCTTTGTGGTGGAATATTCTTATACGTAATCTTCAAAAATAATCCATAAATTTTCACCTCTGTAGCGTAAGATCGACTTAAATGTTAACGACGTCGATATAATACTCAAAAATACGTATGTACGTAGGTATGTTTTACTTAACGATAAGACAGAAACGAATATGTTCATTCAAAAGCCAAAAAAACAAAAATGAATATTGTAATACATATTACGAATGTATACATAAATGTCCTTAGAAAAATTAGTTTAAATGTAGTAATGCAGAATTTGTTTTAACTTTAAATTTTGATTATATGTGAAAAATTGTTGAATGTTTGAACTGCTCAAAATGCATCCTTTATCCAGTTTTTGTTAAATCAAAGAACAGCGGTAAATAGGTAAAAATAATAAATGGTGAATACGTTGTTACTGCCGCCCGCATTTTCCTTTCATGGTTTAGTGATTCCCCTAGCTATTTGTAATTCGGTACATATTCTTCCCCAGCGTTTTATTTAATAGGTAATATAATATATTATCAATAATAATGCATAAAAAAACTTAATTTGACCAAAATTTCACTACATTTGCGGTGTCTCTGCTAGTTTCATCTTAATACCCGATGTCCTCAATAACAATAGGGATTATTTATAAAAATTATGAAGTAGTAGCTCTGAAATTACCTAACGTTTTAAATTATATCTACTGCAATTATGCTTATATTTTTAGTCCTATTTATTATGACGAATTCTTTGGATATCGGGTATCTTTGTTATATAATACGCCTCTTATTCTCCATTTGTATTTTTGTTTTACATTTATTAATCGTTGTCGTTTTCATTTTGTTTGCGTCCTACTTTCGCCGATCATATCATGATTGTCCCACTATACATACGATGGGGGAGTACTACTATCTGTCATGTATATATGTATGTCTAAATATCCGTACAGTGCAACATGTTAAATCGCAAAACCTATTACATATTTATATTTATTCCGGAACACAATTATAATTCTATTACTACGTCATATCATCGGTGATAACCTTATTTGCGCGAACGGCATGTACGGGTGATCTTTCTTGTTCTAGTATACAGAACTAAGATGAGCTGCTTCTGAATCATTATTAAAAATGAACCACTTGTACTACCTGTATGTATTACATACTTACCTGCATGTAAGTACATAGCTATGTCGGTTTATTAATTGCAAAATATTACCTATACTGAAACCGTTTTGAATATCGAAAATTATTCATTTTAAAGTGCCTTTACCTTTAATTTAAACATCAAATGAATACCTAGTTCTCGGCCGTTTGATTTTTAATTCGCATCGTTCAGAAAGTTGGGTAAAATGTTAAGCTATTTAGTAACGGGACCATTAGGAAACTTATGGTGTGTCGTTGGTATGTATCTATGTATGTACTTTCTATTGTGTCAACTAAATAAAAGTTCTAGGTACCAATTAGGTAATAGACGTAATCTTTCTAAATATCAGCGAAAGAATTCGGGTTATAGGTACCTACCTATTTGGGCATAGCGTCAATACGACGCCTTATACTCACTCTTCCTGTTGTTATTGACTTCAAAAGCCGAAACGGTTTTGGTATAGTTTGAGATGTTGCCGTCATCTCATCATCTCATCAATAGTAGTCAGTTTCGTACGCAGATGTTAAAACATTATGATAATGATGATAACAAACTGGTGAAAATAATAACTCTAAATAAAGCTAAGCACCCTCCGCATTTATTTGTTTTAAAATAATTGTTGCTCGCGTGAAAGTATTTCTAATACAAATTTTTAGAACTAATAAACAATTAACAAACGTAGTGAAGATCATTCGCGATCTTCATGTCCTTAATCGTAAAATCCGAAGATTAACCCATAGAGACGGAGAGACCTACAGAAAGCCCTGAGAACGTAAATGAAAATTATTGAACAGGACAGTACCTCGAACAAAATCTCTTAAACGTTTTTAAGGCTAAACAAAAATATTTCTACAATTGTTATCTAAGTATACATACATACATTCTGCTAATTTAACTGTCAATCATTAATTGGTATTATAAGTTTTATATGATAAGTACTTTTCATGTCTCTATTCTAACAAAGACTTCATATTTCGTTTCTGCATTTTACCCCATTTCCGACCGCTTCACATTTCATTTTATCGTTAAATAATAGAGGTACATAAGTGAAGAATTCTGTATGAGAATAAAATCATGGTATGTAGAAGTGCTCCTTTGAAATAGGAAACTTCTTGTAACGACGTTTTGCTTTTGTGAAGGAGGTGCGGTCCTAATCCAATATCAATTGAATGCTACAATACAAGAGTATAATATAAAACGAGATTCTAGGAAGAACCGTTTCTAAATGTTTCCTCGTGTATACATATAGTATAATGGGAAATTTAGATGGGACGGATCAGGTCCTAGCAAATTAATTCAACAAAAAGATTTTTATTATTAATGTGTAGCATCAAAAACAGAATTAAATCAGAAAACGAATGATGTGGTATGATTGGCAATCATTTAAAATTCGATTGTGAAATAGTTTTTGAAAAAAAGAGTTTGTCTATGAAGTAACCCTTTTTATTAATTTTTTATTGATTCGTTGACTTATGTTTTATGAAGGTGCTTTACGATTAGCCAGAGCAATAAGTTTTTAATCAAATGGAATAAAGGGCGTTATTAAAACCGCTTACGATTACTGGCAAAAGTAATGATTAATAAAAATTGCCTCACATACGATATCCTGTACTCGTATGTATAAATGGCAGATACATTTCAAGTAGTGCTGCTTCTTCATTAATGTCTAGATACTAAATTAGACGTTAATTAGTAATGCAACTTTAAAACGGTCGATGTACTTTCTCCATTTAGTGATTGTTTGTAGAGATTTATTGCTAGACATAAAACGAAAATTCAAACGGATTTTAAAACGATTAATTATTGTGAGCGCTTCAAAAAGTTAACTGGAATAGTTGATACGAATTACTTTTAAAAGTTCAATCAAAATCGGTTCAGTCGTTTCAGAGGTTAGTCCGTATTCTAAAGAGGCAGAAGCTGTTCATAAGGATTGTTTATGTATTAATGGCTTACAAATAACCACATGAACTTAAAAAAACAGTTGTTTCGATATTACAGACGGGCTGTTCAATTTTTATTTATATGCATGCAGAGAATGTGCAGATTTGCGAATACTTCAATAGATCATTAATTTTTCTAATAATATTACTGTTTATCAACATACCAAGAGGGAAAATCAAACGAAAATTTGAGGAAATAATTTACGGCAACAATAGATATAAACACTCCCTTAAATAAGAAAATAATTCTATTCCGGTGGAAACAAAAACAAAAAAATTCTGGAATTTGAAAGGTTGTCAATTACTATTGTAGGTATTCATCCGAGCAAACACGACATTTTTATAGATAGAAGAAATATGCTAATTTTAAAATTAATTGTTATTCCATGCTGTAGTGATTTATATCATTCACATTTCATTAAATTTCTACTTTTAAGTATTCATTAACCACCAGCATTTTACGGCAGAGTAAAGTTAAATTTATTAAATGTGTAAGTACCCAATGTCTTTTTAGTACCTAGTTATTGTTATGCTTATGTTGCGACTAACCATGGGAGACCTCAAACGAAATTTGTTCAAGAAATTAAAACTTTAATGTAATGGTTAGTAACCATTATATCGATGATGGTATGTATGACTTGCAAAGGAATAAATAGTATTTTCTTCAATAACCGTTTATGCATGTCACTAAATGGCTAAGGCTCGTTTCTACTCATGACAGTTTTACGAAGGTATTTATCGATATATGGAAGTACGCCTAAATACCGCATTCGAATTAATAATCACAAATAAATAAAACAAAAAATACATAAAATGTCCGTAATATTCAAATGAGCATGCCTCAACTATTAAGTCATTGTGGAAGTATTTATTTTGGAGTGAAACTTTGTCGACTGTTAAGGATTATTAAATGAAAATAACCTATTTATATGTACACATTTGTAACGAATCCAAAATAAAATTATGCTCTTATTGTTAGTTCTTTCGACTGTAAGAAACAGCGGCGTGTATTTTCTGTACTATTGCCCTATCTAAAAATCAGTCCTGTTCTATATAATGAAAAGTTACGAAACGTTTAGAGATCATTGCTCAAAAATCTGTGACATTAAAGAAGCAGGTAGATATCAGAATAGTTAATTATTATCTATAAATTCTTGCGTCTGACAAATGTCGCAAATATTACCTATACTGAATACGTATTATATGCAGATATTTTTAAAAAGCATTGGCCGTTCTAAGTTTAAATTGGTGTCAATTTTCTATTTCAAATAGATCTATATGTATGCATAATAACCGTTTTATCTATTAATAACGCATGACAAAATCGCTAAATAAATGTCGGTGGTA